CAAAAGTAAGTAGTCCGTCATACCCCTGTCTGTGACATGCTTTCGAGGTTGTCCTGAAAGCCGCCTACAGGAGATGTGGCTTAGGCCACCTCTTTCCATTCTGTGGGGAGGTTCGCAACGCCAAAGAAGTATTGCGCAGTGGCAGTTCCTAAGTGACAAAACGGAAGACGAAGCATACGGGCACCCCCTTGGATTACAGCCATACACGCAGTCAATGGGAAAATTGCATGATTGGCCTGCGCGTTGGTTCGTTTGTGTGGTGCGATGAATGTTGGCTGGCCAAGGCTCACAGTCTTTGACCTTACTTTTACCACCATCGTGCGTTTCCCTAGGACAGGAGTGTGCATTCCAGAAGGGGAACATCACCATTTTCCGCTACTCCGAGAGGAAGTTTCTCACCAAGTAATCCTGCTTGACAATGACGAGGCTGAGATCGGGTCACACAGGATAGTACTCTGTTCCCGGTTCTTCTTTCACGATACGTACTTCGTACACAGAATGGCCTTCAGCCACCCAGAGCGAACCATTTTTCAACAGCAACATGAGTGTGTGGAGTGGTTTAACACAGCCTGTTCACGATCTCGGTCCCATGTCGCAGCCGGCAAGGGAACGATGTGTTGGGCCGAGCAAGGAATGCTGAGCACCTGTCGACGAAGCCCGATTGACGAATGAGATTTTGCTCCTCCTCCCTGCCGTTTCTCAGTTCACACTCACGGAGGCTACAGCCGATGCCCGAATTTCCGGACGAGCCATGCTGAGTGTGTCCACGAACCAGGCTCTAGTAAGAAGGAAGACTGCCGCACCGGGCTTACTCCTCCGTCGCAGACCGGTACCGGCGTCATTGGATTTGGGTGGGACAAGCCTGGGTCGAGATCTCAAAGTCTTTTGACAATTGCACGTTGCTAAGTCGGATTCAACACGAATGAGGTAGACACATGCAGTACCAAGCAAAAACCCTCGAAACCCTGTCGGCAGGCCTCGCGGAGTCGCTGAGGATCAGACTCGAACTATGCATTCTCTTTGGGGAAACATCTCAACATGCAACGCAACAGACATGCCACAGGGGCGTTTGGGGAGGGCGCATCCTCATTATTCGCCGCCCACCGACGCGCATGCAATCCGTCAGCAGAGGTACGTCCAGTTTTCTCGGTTGAAGGCTGAGATATTACGACGCCTACACCCCTCTCGTCCCATTACCGCTGTTCTCTGACCCTGACTGAACGATAGGATTGCGAGGAGCCAGTCTTGGTTGGCCCTTCACCAGTCATGATGCTTGTCGCTATTTTCACGTACTTTCCGATGACTGGACGACGCCCAACACCACCTCAGTGGTGGCAGAGTCTTTGTGGAGGACCCTCCTGTGCTAATTGACCGTGTCTCTTACAGCACATGTCTGGGGGCCGGTACCTCAAATCTTTGCTGTATCCGCAAATGCAACCACTTTGGCCCGCTCCATCCATTCGGTTGTCTGGCAGCCTGGCAGGGGAAACGCGGGCAAGACAACCCCCTTCGCGTGTCGCTCACGGGGTATACTGCGTACACAGTAGTGTCTATGGCGAACAGGGTCGTTTGATGTTGCAGGGATCTTAATGACCTGGCCGAGCTCATGAATTCGGGCACAGTGGACGGAGCGGCATTGCCCCTGCGCGCAGCGTCGCCCAGCTATTTGGCCGGCACGATCGGCGTGGCCCATGACGCCGCTGTATTACAGATGTTTTGTCATTTGAAGTGTCTCGTTGCTGCCACAGCCGAAGACTTTGTCGAAACGGGCGTGCCACTCACCCACCATCATCATCATCAGTCAGAGGTGCATCCATTCCTTCAAGCGCCGTGCCCACTCCTTAACCGAACCAGCTTGTGACTGAGGCCAGACAACGATCCAGTCAAGCAGCCCACAGAGTCCAAGCTGGCAATAACACAAAGGCTGGGTTGTGCATGACATGCCTCGACGGAGTGTGTAACACTTTGGAACCTCGAGAACAGCCGACTCTTTGTCTACACTGTTTCCCCTAAGGAATTGCAGTCCATCTCGCTTGCAATGCTTGCTCACGAAATACATCCGCGCGACAGCAAGTTCTCTGACGCATAGAAATGGCGAACCCCAAGCCGCGGTTTCATTAGGGTGAGGACGAAAACGCAAAGGGCGTGGGCCAGACGGAGCCACGGAAGCATCCAAGTTCCTTTGCTCAAGGATCGGCCGTGGACTATTTGCATGCTCTACCCTAGCGCTGGTTCAACCATGGGTATTCGTACGGATACGATCCCTTGATTCTGTGCTCGATTTCTACCTATAGGTGAGCAGAGGGCCTGCGCCTGGGCCATGCATCAGTCGTCAATTTGACAGCCTCGTCTTGCAGCAGCAGGCTGGCAAGCAATCAATGCTCAATGGTCTCGGCTTTGGCGATACGCTACAATCATCCATCGCTTCCTCTTGGTTCCTGCAAGTTCTTCATCAACCAACACCATTACTGGGTATACATCCTATGTGGCTTTGGTGTTGACCCTTGAAGGTCTTTCGAGGAAGATGAAAGATGTTGGGGGCGCTGCTCACCACATTGGTAGACTTCGCGGCAAAACATGGCAAGAACAGTATGTTATTTGATTTGCTCGCCGAGCTAACCACCTAGCTCTATCAATTTTGGCCATCCTCAGGGCTCGGCATCTCTGCTGCGTTCTATTTTGGGGTAAAAGACCAGATTAAGTAACTAGGGCCGTTGCGTTGGCGAAGAGTCTGGCAGACTCCTTAATCCTCCAAGCTTGATCTCATTTGGGATCACTTTATTGTCGCTTTATTTCTTTGATCGCTTTGCACGACAAGGGGCTGGCCGTCGGGCAAGAGAACGGCGGACAGAGGGCCAAAGACAGCAATGGTGTCCTGGCAACCCTGGTCCGGCTACAACCACGAATGAAGGAAGCGGCATTGCACAAGACAACCTAGACAAGAACAGACGCAGCAGCAATATCGATTCGGCCGTCCAGGGGACGATCCTCTCCCGCGCATCTGAGAATGAGACCCAGTCGGTGCCGCCGTCCACACGACCTTGGAAGTTGGATCACCATTCCTTTCTCAGCAGTGGGTGTTGTCTCAATGACTGGGAAGAGTCCAGGATGAGGGGGGGAGGGGCTTTGAGGTTCTTGGACTGACCGCAGTTCGCAATGCTACGCAGCGCCCACTGCCCAAGGCATATGATTAATGTCGACGCAGGACTAGAGGGGTGAATGGGGATTTCTTAGTGGAGGTACCAGCGTCGACAGCAGCGAGCATACCTACATTGGCTTGCTCCATCACACCTAGCGTTCTGGAAGCCATGGACGTACCTACGCGACACAAGACAGGACCCTGCAAACGGACTTTTGACGGCGTACGCACGGCAATACGTGTGCCATCCGGACGGAGCGAGGCAAGGGACAAGATGCCTCCCCGCACTACCACGGCCACGATACCAAGACCCCAGTGACCAGACTACCTTCCTAGCATCGACATCCACCTAGATCACAATTCACACCGAGTCAACGCCAGCAAACAGGCGAAAAGACGGTGCGCTGCCGTCAGCGGCCGTGTTTCTGTTGCGGGACGCAAGGTGACACAAGGGATCGTGCCTCACGTCGGTCTTGTATTGCTTTCTTTGCCCTGGGCTGGAAAGTTGACTCGCCTGCAAGCAGCTGGACTAAATTGGATCGGCCATTTCTCACCCATCGAAATGCCAATGCCAGCCTCTTTTGTGCGTCGAGCCACGACAGTGTGGGCACGGATATGGAACTGCTACTGCGGTGCAGCACCAATGCCTGGGTTAATTCAACATGCTGGGTCGTCTGGGATTTGCCGACCTCTGAAGATCTGAGCTGTTGGGTACGCCGCACGAATCAGAGCGACGGAGACTAGACGTCTTGCAAAGTAAGGTGTTCCTTGCCAGATTTCTTCCCTACCGTTGTTGACTTTGGTCAATTTGAGAAGCGCTGATGTGCGGAGGCGAAATAAGGTCTCGAATGTACGGTGCCGTCATTCCGTCTGGCCTACCGCGAACCTGTGGCATCTATTCGATACGCAAATAATCGTGGAGCTATCAGAGTATTTGATGGGATGGATTGCAAGCAGGCGTTCGAAAGTTTCGCACTTTGATGAGACAGTACGGACTAGGCATGTGAGGAATCTATACGCAGTACATGTTGTCAGGGACTTAGGCAATATCGAAACAAGGCTATGCCCGGAACAATACCACACACCACAATTCGTACGCGCACCGGAAGCTAAGACGAATTTTCTGGAGTGTTGTCAAGAGGGTTAGGTGTGCTTGAGTCACTGTTGCTTGAGCTCCGTGAAGGTTGGAGGGGACGGAAAGTCCCGTCCGACAACCGTACGTTGTTCGAGTTGCAAGTCTGCGTCACTTTTGGGAAATTTGAATGCTGAGCATAACTTAGCAAAGTGGACGCAGACGCGCGAGTCACGGTCTGTTTAGGATGTTTCTCTGGCGAGGCCGTCATATTGCTGAACGTACTCCGTTCACGAGGGCGCAAGCAAATTCTGCTTGGAAACGGACGCTGGACTCTCGTCCCGAAAACTATCCTGCAGCATGCGGCACGATGGCAGCCGAGGGCGGGCGTAATATGCCCCAAAGACGGCGGCCGAGGAAAATGACGCCCGCGTTACCGAAAGGGTTTGAGACGAGAGGAATCTATGTAATGGGCCGGGGACCATTACAACCGGGAGGAAAGCATGTCGCGGAAGCAGGTGTTACGAATGGGAACTCAGCCGTGGACGAACCGACCATCCAGAGGCGCTGCAGCGGCTAGTGACTCAAGACAACGAATGGAAACCAAGGCCACCTGGGTTCGAGGCATCGAAGACGGCCAAGCCCTGATACGGAGTGGTCTAAGGTTATCTCAAGGCTCAAAGACAGTCAGGCGAAAAAGCATTGCATGGCCCATGTAAGGTGCTTCGCCCACTGTGCGGTGCAGTTCAGCCAAGGTTTTAGCAGGATGCAGGTGCTCTACGGATACAGGGCAGACGTACCTTGTATGAGCAGAGCCCAAAACGAACGAGGGCCGAAAGAGTTTGGTGTGGGGTTGGTGCCGCATTGCGCGGAGTGGGCGTGAGTGTGGGTTATGAGACTGTGGATGGGACGAGATGCTCAAGAGTATCCGTAAGTACCACCGAAATGTGCCAGTGATGGACATGCTGACGATGGCTGACGATGGATGGGGCTCGCTGTTGCGCTAGGGAGCCTACTGATACTGTACGGATACACAGCGCAGCGCAACGCAACGCAACGCAACGCCCCCTCGCCGGTCCTGTTCCGTTTGTGGTACGAGGATGCACAAGCCGAGCACTTCACACACCCAGCGATCCATCATAGAGCGACCCAGGCAAGCCAGGTCAAGCCTACATAGTACTCCAAACAGAGATGTGCTGTATTATCCGACCCCTGTTGGACTGCTCTGGTACAGTTTATATCTGACGGTGCCTGAGGCGTTTGAGACGGTTTCTTGCCGTCAAGGTGGGCGATGGCTGAAGTTATCGCTGACGGGCAAAGCCTGTGGGCCGAAACACTTGTTGGTTGGTGTACACTAAGTAGGCTGATGCTCATTTGCTGACGTTATCGAACTGGCTAACTGCGACTATCACTAGGACATCACAATGTCGGTGTTCGCAAGAAGCGACCTGTTCGCGACGAAAGGGGAGAGTCTCTGTAGTCGGCACCCACGCCTGGATTCCGGTGGCCTCTGCTATCGACCGACAAACACGTCTCTAGCATTCTCTAGTCACCGTTGTGGACTGGTAGTGCAGCGAGCGGAGGTGCAGCTCTCGTCTTCCATACCGGCCTCTTCCCTGTCCTGCCCGTCTGGCTAACCACTGGTCAGTGGTATCTGGATGGGAAGACTGCAAAGCTATGTGCGGGCTCAACTGGTCTCTACCCGCCGCCATGTCGTGGTAGCATAGGTAATTAGCGGTCCTCTGCTTCCTCCCTGTACGCGGCGTGCCCCCCCATGTCAGTCATTTACGGCTACTTCGTACTCCGTTCAGCAGAGTCGGAGTCGTAGTCGTAGTCGCACCCGCACCCAGGACCGAAGAAAGGGCCACTTGACAACCCCACCCGACCCCAAGACCAAACCACGCCCGAGACCCAGGCCCTAGTGTGGCTCAATCAGCGCAGCAGATGGAAAAAGAGGGTGAGCAGTGCTGGCAGGGCGGTGGTGCAGGAGAAAGGGGGGCATGAGAGGGGGAGATGGGTGTGAGAAGCGGAAGCTCCAGGAGAAGAGCAGAGAAGTGAGATGGGGGGGGGGGGGCGTCTGAATATCAAGGTCTGTTGCCTTCTCCTCGAGGCTTGGAGGAATGCGAAGTAGCATGACCCGGCCCATAATTGGCTGGAAGGTTAAAGATGGAAAGGCAATGAGGCGCCCGGCGGATAGGCGCACGGGGACGGGAAAAGCATCAAGCATGCCTTCCCCTCCCTCTGGTCCTAGGATTGCTTATTAGACCATGAGAGCTGCGTGAGAGAAGTTGAGTCTTGACATTTGACGTCTTGCAGTAACTCATTCGGCTTTGCTGACTGGGCGAAACAGTGGACGAGGGCGTACTGGGCGCTGTCGTTGATTCGGCTCGATTGGATCGGTACAGACATACGGATACAGATACAGGAACACTTGAGATGGTGGAATTCGGAGTACTTTGATCTTCAGTATGAATGATGGCGGAGGGTAGGTAGCTTTTCCTCGTCACCTTGTTTCCTCCTCGCGCCCTTGTCGAGCTGGGCTCTACGTACCTTAGTGAGGTACCGCATACTGCGTACCTACTGTGGTAGGTGCCAGTAGCACGTGAGTGGATACAGAGTACTTGTACGTACTGCAAGGTGTCTGGTCCTTTCTTTTCCCTTTCTTGCAGCTCCACGACTCCTCTTTGGCGTTTCTTCCAGCCCTCCACCCACACAAGGTATCAGATATTCCTTGCCTGTGCTCGCGAGCAGCTCATCAAGGACGTTCAAAGTCTCTTCTCGGTACGAATTGACACCCGCACCCGACTTCAGAAAATTGGTGGTGGTGGCCTGGCCTGCAACATTAGAAGCCTGAGGCGTGGTGCGTGCAGCATGCCCTGCACCTGGCACCTGCTCTCCCCCTCTGCTGGGGCTGCATCCAGACCAAAAGTAGCCTGATTGGCTGAATCGACCTGATTGGCTCGGAAGTGGAGACCAACCCTCAAGACCGATGGAGAATCTGAAAGAAGGGGAAAATAAACGACCACTCAGGTGCCACTCCACCATCACGGAAAGAAAGGACAGAAAACTTGCATCTTCCTTTCCGCCAGTGGCAGTTCCATCCGTCCACTGGCAACCTTGGAAGGTCTGAGTCCACAACTTCTTCCTCTGGTCTAGCCGGCAGCCTTTTGCAACTTTGCACATTTGATTCAGACACGACTCTTCTTTTTTCACCTTGACTTTGAATCTCGGCTTGTTTTCACCTCCACGCCCTCGCCCTCGGTCAGTAGTACGGTTACAATCTACACACCCTTCCGATACACCACCTATCTACACAGTACACTCTTGTGTAGGAACCACGCCCCCATACCCCACGCCCGCGCCCACGACTACACTACGAAAGTGCGAATGCCCAGGATTCAACCCTGAGCAGAAGTGTCTTTGTACACCTCATGCGGCATGCTCACTTCCCACACCAAATCTCAGGCTCGGGGACTTGCTGCTTCATCGCCGCCGCTCTCACACGGCCTGCTATTTACCGCACCTGAGCTGAAGGTGGGCCCGTCGCGCTAGGTAGAATTCGGATCGGTACCAGGGCCTAGGCAAGAGTCTGGCGGAAACCTCAGACGGGGGCAGGCGGACGAAGGCACTTGGACGCCGACGGACCATCACCGACCAGGCTAGGCTTGTAGTACGTCTGCCCGATACGCTGTGCTGGATCATATTCAAGGATGGGATTGAACATTGACGACGGAGCAGAGCATCCATCTGTCGTGGTCGGGGTCACAGTTACAGTCACGGTCATGACAGGGGGTGTCCTCACAATCATTGTCGAATGGCTACCAAACCACCTGGGAACGGGACTGCGACTTTGGACGGGGATTGGCCGGTCAGAGCCTTGGACTGTTGGAGGACAATCGGTCTGGCAGATTCCAGGTTGTCTGTCACTCACTCTGCGTCTAATAACGGGACCATGCTCTGCGGATGCCTCCAGGCTTTGTCAATCACGATACCCCAAATGTCTCGTTGATCCGCGCTCTGTACGGATACGGAGTATCGATCTGTGAGGTGTGATATGTGAGTGCCAGGGACGAGGAGAGGAAGACACTGACGACTAATGAACTCTGGAGCTGCGTAGGCTTGCTTGGCTCGGCTGGGCTTTCTTTCGCGTGCCTCGACTGTGCCTCGCCTTGCCATCTGGCTGCCTGTGTATCGAAAGATGCACATACGCGGCGCCTCCTCATGGCTGACGCTGGTTGAGGTTGGGATTGGTGTTGGATCAATCACCATGGATGGTGTTGGTGCCGGTGCGAGATGCAAGTGCATTGCCGCAAGGCAAAGCGAGGTACGTATCGATATACCGTGTATCGCGTTCCGCATCGAAAATGGCCAACCACTGGAGACTGGAACCCCCGAGGCATGTGTCTTTTTGGTGGCGCAACACGAGAAAAGGTACATACTTCCATGCCCCAGGTGGTGGACGGGAGAGAAAAAAGGTACCTCAAGCCAAGTACCTCTGCTCTTTCTGTCTAAGGTATCCTCGTGCATTCTGCTTCTTTCCCCCCTTCCTTCCTCCCTCTCACCCTCTGGGTTCAAGACCCACTTTGAGATTGCCTCGCGACATGGTTGGCCCAAAGTTCTTTGCGTACCTGAGCCAAATTGTCTCTTAGTCTCCTTGAATCCTTCCTGACTTTTGCATTTTTTGCGGCTTGTTTCCATAATCGGCTTGGTTGCGTGGTTGCTTGTTGAGGGGCGGGCGGGCTAGCTGAGAGGGACGGCTACGGGGAAAGTCTGGCTCCAGGTTTCTTTGCCTGCCTTGTTCCTAACTCCCTCCAGGCTCCGAAGAGGTACACATATTGCTGCTCTTGCTGGTATTGTGTGGCTGCAAAGCGTACGGACACTTTGTGGAAAGCAAGGTACTTTGTGCACTGAGTGGTTGTCCTCAAGGCGGCACTTCCCAGTACGGATACCTTACGGTCCTTATTACCACAACCTACCTGACTTAGAGGGGCACCCAGTCAACGGGACTACGGAGGACACAGTAGGGATAGAGACGGACTTAGCTGCAATGGAAGTTGCAGAGCAAAGCAAGTATCTAATTCTGGGGTCATGTTCCTTGCTAAAGTTGCCTTCTTCCCTGGACTCTGGAGCCCCTGCTCCTCTCCGCCGACCGACCATGTTGGTGCTTTTTTGCCAGTTGGTGTGGTGTGGTGTAGTGTGGTGTGGTGTGGCAGGTTGGTGCTGCCGGTGCTGGAGCTTCCCGGTTGAGGTGAGGTGCGGCGTCGCCCTTTTCTTTCTTTGCTCCTCCGACCTCCACAGCTGAATCAAACCTGCGCTTGCGGATGGGTTGTTTTATTTGCTGGAGACCCGTACCCCCCGTCAGGCAGGTAGGAATCGAACAAGCTGGATGGTAAGTATCTTCTTTTTCTTGCCCACCTCACCTGCCCCCATTCCCCTCCAAGTCAAAGACTAAGGACAGGGCACGCCGCACCGTAGGCCGCACATGGAACAAGGTACCTTGGTCCCCTCCCCTCCCACGTCCCTTCCTCAATCCTCATCCTCATCCCCATACTTGAGGGTACGGAGATACACGGTACGTCCCATCCATCCCTCCATGTCCCATGTTGGCTGTTCCGGGTCCCGTCCCTTTCCTGCCACAGTGCCACCTGCCTGCCCTTGCCCAAAACCCCCAATCCCAATCCCATGCCTTCCCTCATCCACTGCGACCACAGACCTGACCCAGACGAGGACCCATAACCAGGGCGCGCGGAGACGGATACTTCTCCTCTCACACAGCTCTCGCACAAGACATCCGTATCTAGTGACTTTGCCTACAATCTGTGGATGACCGGTACATGCGCTACTGGGCCTAGGCTGGGAACTAGGTACTTGACTTTCCTTGGTAGTGAGGTGTGTTCCTTACCTTTTTTTTTTTTTTTTTTAACCTTGCCTTACTCACTCATGTCTCTCTGACTGCGGGTGTTGCTGCAAGTTTTCTCCAAATAATAATAATAATTAAAATAAAATAAAAATAAAGACGAAAAACGGGGAAGCAGAGAAAGAGAGAGAGAGAGAGAGGTCCCAGGGTCCAGACAACGAACGACGCAACCATATCACTAGACCTCCGTTTTTTTTGTGGTTTTCCTGCTTCGGCTTCCAATCTATCACTTCGTACCTCACCTTACCTTTCTACCTGGACCCCCGGCCCCGACCTTCTTGCCGCGTGAGAGGTGCCTTACCTTGCCTTTACCTTGCTTCTTTCTCTCTGCTTCGTCCAGCTTGCCTTGCCTCGTCTCTTTTTTATTTATTTTATATTCTCTCAAAAGGTGCTAATCTTGTTTTTGTTGACGGGGACCCTCTTGCTACTGCTTCTGGTCTTTAGCCTCTTCTTACTTGTTATTATCATCCTTCTTCTTCCATCACTCTGGACTAGTGGTGTTGCTGTTGTTGTATGTGTACATGTATGCGTGCGTGTGCCAAATACCCAAGCAACATCCCGTACAATACAATACAATTCCAACACCGCCGGCCACACTCTTCTTTCTCGCACCCATCCATCCTTCCCACCACGGCCATCCCACCGAATCACGGAGCCCCATTGACCTCACCACCCACGAGCCCTTCATTTACACGGACAATCTGAAGTACACGTCGGCCCAGGGTCACCTCTTCCACCTTACCTTATACCTACCTCCCATTTCCACCGACCCATTCACCCCTCCGACTTATTCGTACCTTGTCGACCTGACATCAACGTCGAACCCATCTCCAATTCCCATACCTTGGTCACTGTGCCCACCAATCCACCCCTCCAAAGGTGTTCTCCTGCTCCTACTTCTTTCTACTTTGCTCCTGCAATCGAATCAGCACCTCGACGGTCGACGAACACGATTCACGCCCTCCTCGATTCTTGGATCACGAGCACGAACATCTTGGATCGAGACTGCGGCTGGACCAAATTCTTGCACGATTCACCCTGCCATGGCCAGCTCGTGACGGAGACAAGACACCCCTCAACAAGAATCACCAATCCTCAAGAGAACTGCTATTTCGAGCTTGCGAGTACAGACGAAAACCACCCGACGGGAGCATTCATATAATTCCAGGTTGACCTTTTCTGCCCGACTCAAACTGCCCACAGCATTCTGCCGAGGTGCACACAAATCTCTCTCTAGGAAAGGAAGCTTCTACAAGTGAATCATATTCGGAACTCTGTCGCCTGCTTCAACCACAAATGTAGTAGCCGACCTTGATTCCTCTCGACTGATACCTCTCGACCCGCCACTCTCTTTTCCACCATTTTCCGACCTCTATTCGACCTCTCGAAAATACTTCTCCTGCAGCCGAAGCATCGCTCAAGAGATTGTCGACCTTCGAACGACGAACCTCGAGCCCCCCCTCCGCGACCCAACGATCAACTTCCCCCGCTCCGATGTGTTCGACTGCCGCACCTTTGCCATTCTACAGCCTCCCTCTGTCTCCTGCACACCCCTTGTCGTGTAGACAGAGCTACTCTCAGCAAACCTCCTTCACAGCCACTCACTCGCAAAAAGTTTCCAGGTTCGATTTCGGGGCAGGAGCTTCTCTGTACCGGGGCGGGCTTCGCACGCCGCCAACCGACGCCATGAGTGCTACCTACCACGCCCCTCACCTTGTCTCCTACGACAGCCATGTTCTTCCCTCACACCCTTCCTCAGTTGCTCAGGCAAGAGGACCTAAGGCTGTTATGGCCGAGGCTGCGAGAGCCCCTCAATATTCTCGGTATCAACAACCCGCCAACACGTATTCCCAACCCCCGCAACCGGTAACGAATCCGGCCTCGGGCACTAGCCAATACTCAACCACCTCTCGACACTCGACTCGCCCGTCAACACCGACTTCAGGTGCCATTGGCAAGCCAGATGACACTTCATCACGTAAGGGCTCTTCGGCTCTCGTTCTGCACAGTCTGTCGATACCGAGCTGCATTAATCCCAAGGGTGGTAACTTGGCCGACTTTGCCGCACAGGTAAGCTGGACTTGGCCCGCAAAGAAGAAGAATAGTAGTAGCTGACCTCTCTCAGATTACGTGCCTCTTTTGGTTCGAGTCTATGGACACCCTGCGAATCGCTGAGAACATCCGTTCTCGTCCATCGACCGCCACCGTACCTCGCCTCACCGAGTATGCGACCCCCTTCCCCCAGTTCAAGAAGTGGGCCTACAGCGTGCTCTCGACGACCCAAGTCACGCAAAACGTGATTCTGTTGGCCCTGCTTTTCGTCTATCGATTGAAGACGACAAATCCTTCCGTCAAGGGTCGGTCCGGTAGTGAGTATCGTCTTTTGACGGTTGCCCTCATGCTGGGCAATAAGTGTAAGTGATGATTGTAATAGGGGGGAGGGTTGGATCTTTTGCTGACACCTCGTAGTTTTGGATGATAACACCTACACGAACAAAACCTGGGCCGAAGTCTCCGGCATTACCGTTCAAGAGATCCATGTGATGGAGGTCGAGTTCCTCAGCAACATGCGCTACAGCCTGCTGGCCACCAAAGAGGAGTGGGAGGAATGGCTCGTAAAGCTGTCTTGCTTCTCGGAATACTACGAGCGGGCGCAGAAGCAACCGACTTCACCTTTGAACAAGTCCTTCACCTCGCCGGTCCCATCGCCCATCGCCGCCGCACAGCCCGCAATCTCTTTCCCGCCCCTGACGCCTTCTGCCGCAAACGTCTACTCACCCAGCACGAACACGCAGAGCAACACGCAGGCTTGGCCCTCGACATACCATCACAACCCTCAGGTGTCACCACTTTCTGGCAAGCACGTCCCGGGCATGAATATGCATGCTCGTAAGAGAAGCTCAGAGGAAGATCTGGCAGAGCCCCCAGCGAAGCGACTTAGCAGGCAGCCCAATGCGATGCCCCCTGTCGGTAGACCTATGGCGGTTAACGAGCAGCCGATGCGTCTGCCCGTACCGAACCTGACGCTGAACACCAATCCCGCACCATCACAGGCACAAATGTACCCGGCCCCGACGACCTACCCGGCGCAGCAACACGTCTCCTTGCCGCCCTTGAGCAACGGCGTTCGTGCCATGGCAACAGTGTTCAACCCTGCCACGACAGTCTCGATGCCGCAGCTGCCCATGCCAGCCACGACCTCGATACCGCAGGCCTCGCTTACGCCATCGAATGCACCGATGCATCCCAACATGGGATACGGCACTCCGACCAAGAGACACAGTCCAGGAAGTCTCTCTGTGTATGCGTCTTCGCCTCTCGGGGAACAGTTCCCGGCATCTGTCATGCACACCCCGATCTCACATACGCCCATGTCACACTCGCCCAGCGTTTATCTTCAACAGCGACCCAGCCCGTACAAGCCTATTCGTCATGTCAACACACTGCTTTACCCTCCGCCATCGGCTTCCCTCAACGAGTATCATCTGCCTACGACACAGATGCATTACCAGCCTCTCGGGCGGCGCAACGACCTGCGAACCGGTGTAGTTCCTGAATTCATGCATGCGCCCTACAGAATGAGCGCTCACATGCCGCACATGCCCCATGGTCTGCCGCAGGGACCTTTCCCGAACTAGAGGCTTGGGAATCGAATGAACCAGCCACCATTTCCACCATACACTCCTCGGGGACAATGCCCCGAGGATAGATCTTTCAACTCATTTTGTTAAGCATTGCATTGTCCAAGGCGTCGGTTCAGGATCATTATTTTTTACTTCATCAGCGGACAAGGAGGATTGGGGAAATTCGGGGGATCTTGGCAAGGAAAGGGACGATTCTCATGGATCAACTGCGAAAATTGCATCAGGCGGAGTTGTCTTTTTCTCTCTTTCCCTACTTTTGGGCTTTCGGGGCAACAAGGAGGTTAACAAGGCAAGAAAGAGCAATGGTCCTTCGAGCTTACGCATCATCTGGTAGATGATGCACTACGCAAGCTCGGCTTCCCCAACAAGCCGAAGCGTTTGATTTTTTCTTTGCTTCTTCCGAAGTGGCAAAGGAGCCTTTTTTCGGCGTAGGTAGAAACCAAGCGTCAGCGATGACAGCTAGATCGCGAAAGATCAAGCGAATCAAATCAAAAAAGTAAAAGTAAACATATATTTCTAGTTCCATATGGTGATGGCTCAAAGCTTGTCGCTGGATTATGGGCGGATTGAGTTTGTAGGTTTGAACCAATCAGAGAGGGACAGTGACATTGCAGTTTTGGTGACATTTGGTTGATTGAAATTCACTGTGTGAAAATGAATGCAATGTCGTCCTTGGCACGGTACGGTGTCAGAATATTCGCCCAGGTAACCGTCAATTGATACTTGCGTGGGAGGAAAATTGAAACACTTGTAGACTGGACAGCCACGCACAATCTGAAAAGTAGCGTACCATGTCTTGTTTTGGAACGCTCTGGGCGACGGAATTGTCTCGCAAATAGGTCGCAAGCGCGCTGCAAATAATGGGCTCCGTCATGGACAGTCAAACACCTTGAACAGGCTAATGAGATTCGGTGTTTCTGATCTATTCAGATGAGCGGACTCCAGAGAACCTCGCTTAGCTTACCGACTCTTTACTTGGGTACATGTGAAAGGCTCATGTTAGCACCTTGAGCAACACTTATTTCCAAAAGGGTATGAAGGAGGTGATTCCTTCTGAGGATGATTTGATCGCCTGGGAAAAGCATTGCTATGTGCTCCATTGGAGATGGATTTTAGAACCAGCCCGGATCGCTCGTGAAATCGCATATCATGGACGTGGACCCTGATCAACCACTAGAACTTTATCATGCAATATGCAATCGGAGATGGATCTGGGGCTGGGAAGATATGGCACGATGCCTACCTTTCAAGAGCAGTGAAAATCTCCCACCTGTTGATCATTTGTCTTGAGAGGCACATATCAGCCAAGAGTTGTCAGTCAGCCTATCACCTCTTACGTATTCCTCCTAAAATACCGACAAAGAACGAGCTATAAACGAAGAGTGTCAGTGAACGCTTGCCTGGGAACTGGAAGCACGCGACAGCAACTTATCCCGAAAACTTGGACGGCAAGATGACGTTCGGCATATCCAAGAGATTAAAGAGGTCAAAGAGCGCAGACGACGCAAAGAACGAGTCTGCCAACGATCTCGTCCCTATACGCCGTCTGACATCTTCGAGCTTCGCCATGGCCCCACGCCTGGCGCCGGCGTATATCGATATGGCCACGACATGGACGTCCGTCGAGGCCCCGCGAGGAACATTCACAGTAGACAAGTCCAAATTCTACCAGCCATCGGGCCCCATGGCCGACGACGTCTTCTGGATGCCGCTGTCCTCTGGCGACGTCGGTCACTTTTCCCGGGACGGATTCCGGGTCGACAACGATTCTTGCTCTTCCCGGGTGCTATACCGCGCCAAGGAGAAGAAGCACCTGTCCAAGGGCCTGCTGATGCACTACGGCACCCTCACCATCGATTACCACCCATCCGAGTCTGTCAGTCGATGCTTTGTAGGCTTCGGGCCAAACGCCGAGCACCGTCTCATCATGATGCTGAGGGCGGATTGCCAGCGGGCTGCGGTCAAGGTCACCGCTTGCATGGCCAACTTGTTGCATAGCAAGATGCAGCGGGAGGGTAGCTTGTTGTGGCTGAAGCCGAGCGCGGTCGCCGATACGTTGGAGAAAGCCGCGGAGTCGTTGATTGATATTGCTGCATTGGTCGATCGCTTCATCCAGACGATGAGGAAGCTCTACCAAGGCAATGATCGGGAGGCCGATATGCCTGTAACGTTCAAGAAGGCTCTGTTCCTACTCGGCCTGACCAAATGGCATCGCATCCACCGCGCTATCAACGCTATCCAGTGCCTCAAGGAGGCCTTTCGAATCGTGGCGGATACGGACGAACATGAGAAAAGGAGCAGCTTCGGCAGCAAGGCTCGTTGGTGTATTGCGGCCAACGTGTATGGCATGTTGGGTTGGAGGCGAGCACCAGCCAGCCTCGCTCACCAACGAAACGTGCTACCCAATGTATTGACGTCGCTGGAGATTCTAAGCGAGGTGGACTGGACCGACTTTCAGACCAGGGATGCGGAGGAGAGAATGGAACAAGCTGGCGTGACGGTCAGCATCACCAAAGAAGCCAACTTTACTCCTGCAACGTTCCGAACTCTGATGCGGTTTCTGCAACACCGGTCACTACAGTCATTGGAATACGATGACGATTTTGGTGACGCGGATGTCAGAGGGCCAAAGCAGGAGGAGCCACAGAGCTGGACGGGAGAAATCCTGCCCGCTCACTTCCAGATGTTGAAGGCCATGCATTGGGTGAGGCATTGCTGGGCCGCAGACAGCACTTTCTTGACAGTACTGGCACTACCAACGTTGGAGGTGTAGGGAGGTTTCGAGATCCGTCAGATGAGGCTGATCTGAAAACGAGGTGAAGTTGCGCCAAGACCCAGGCTGAAAACTTGTGGTAATTCAGGGCAATTTTGTCGTGCTGGGTGACGTTTCAACAGATCGGGCTGAGACGTTGGTTCGGCTGGGCCAATAAGCTGGGACGACGACGTATTGCACGGGTTGTGGGCTACACCGAGACGGTTGCCGCGGTGGTTGATCAACATTGATTCGCCGCTGAGACTGTCAGGTCAACAAATTGTGACATGAAGACATGACCGTCAGTAGGCACATCTTGGTCACTGGCTCTTTTGATAACCGGTTTGCAAGTGATTATCGCAGAGGCAAAGAGTTTGGAGCAAGATGGGACGAAAACTATGCGACGGTTGACTGGACGACGGAGAGAGAGAGTGCGTGCTCGCGTGAGTGACAGCGGGAGTTTGCTGTTCTTTGCAAGGTTTGTCTTGTTTCGATGTCGATTTTTTTGCTATCCCTGACGCAGGGACGAGCAACGCATCGCACACCCGACTCGATGTCTTTGTTTGGCGATGGTGGAATTTGGAAATGGATACGAAGCAATCAAGGCCAGACGAATGCACAGAATGCGCCTCGTCTCAGAGGGAAGAGGGCATTGTATTGAGGAGATGCGACAATGAAGAGGAGGAATTACATAAGCACTCTACTACATACGCAATATGAAAGCTCCAAAAAGTGGCTGGGCAACTGGCAACAACGGGGATCTCTCCTGCTTACACTTCTTGCCAGACGGGGCGACAGGGCCTCGTGTTCGAGCTAGCGGGGAAGAATGGACGTCGCTTCAGTGGACTGGGCAGGGGTGATGCTGCTAAACTGGGATAATTTGCCGAGAATACACATTTCAACGCTCCAAGGGGGGAAGGAAGAACACGAGATAGCCAGTCAGAGGCCGGAAAGAATGGCAATCTGCTGTATTTAATTGGGGAACATCGAAAGCCACCAGCCACCTTTTGACCTGCAAAGATTGCCATTCGCCCCACTCCGTCCCGTTCCTGGACCGGGAAGGCGCCTCTTACGAGAGAGCGTTCTACCTTCCCAGTGGTCCCCTCGACCCTTCTCCTTCCAGCTGTGTGCTTCCTTCCTTGCTGTGCTACCCGCCTTGCCCGCTTGCCCGCCCCTTCCTGGCACTTGTACACTTTGATTCCTGCACTTGCTGCGCTTGTTCTGCACCTGCAGGGCCTCAGAGTGTCCCAGAGTGGGCTCCTTTTCTCCCTTTTCCACAGCAACGCTGCTCCAACGTTCCCCCCGTTCAGCTTCAGCTTGTCGTCGGACAGCAACCGTTCACTGTCACTCGCTCCCAACCACCAGCCCGTTCTTCAGATTCAGGTTCTTGTTCAGTCATTCGTTGTCGCACCCTCGCTCCGTTCCACCTTCACAGTTAGGTTGTCGTCGCTGCCTCCGTAATATCGTCATCGTCGTCGACAAAAACTCTCTCCAAGAGAAAAAACCTCTCTCCATCGCTCTTGAACTCGGACTCCTGATTATTGCCATCTCCCGTCACGGACCCCCGACGCCTCGTCTCCACGATCAGCCCGCCCGCCCTCCATCCGAGTGACCTCCCTTGACGTCCATCGAAACATCCATTCCTCGTCCATTCGCACCATCGTCCCCTTCGTTCGCGACGATACGACCAGGCTTCGCCGGACCTCTCGCTCACTCTTGACGAAACGCCATCCACATCACGTTGAATCCGTCGCTTGGCCTCGACTCTGTCCATCGCTCGAGTACCCTTTCGCCATTACCCCTGTCGAGAACTTCAAACGACCCTCGACGGAAACTTGAACTGCATACCTCGCACCCCGTTCCGACCATTCGACGCTTCCATTTCGCCATTTGCCCTTCCGAAAGACTCATTGCCGTAGGTCGGCCGTAGCCCATCATGTCAGGCTTCGGCGACTTCACCAACATCTGCCATATGGCGCCGCTGCCATTGTGCGCATCCATCGGCCCCATTACGGAGGTGACGAGCGGCGTTGGTATTGAGCCGGACTGCTATGCGAGGAATATCGAGCTGGCAAACACCATCATTTTCGAGGGTGCCGCCAGCGCCATGCATATTGTGTCTTTGCTCATGACAGTCGTCATGATCTTGCACATTCGCGGCAAGTTCACTGCTGTCGGTACGTCAGCCTTCACGAACCCTCATTTCTGACAGAAGTACTGACAAAACATGAATAGGCCGCAAGGAAATCCTCATGTTCTTCTACATCTACATGCTTCTGAGTTTCATCTCACTTTGCGTCGACGCAGGTGTCGTTCCCCCTGGGTCCGCCCCCTACCCGTACTTCGTGTCAGTTCAAAACGGCTTGTCATCGGCTCTGATTACTTGCCTGTTGATCAACGGCTTTGTTGGCTTCCAGTTGTACGAGGACGGCACTTTCCTCTCAGTCTGGCTCTTGCGCGTCTGCTCTCTGGTGGCCTTTGCGATATGCTTCCTCGTCTCCCTTGCGACCTTCAAGTCATGGGCTGGCCTGGGTCCCACCAACACCGTCGGCCTGTTCGTCGTCCTGTACTTGCTCAACGCCATCGAGCTCTTCGTCTACGTTGCCCTGCAAATCCTCCTCGTCGTTAGGACTCTCCAGGACCGCTGGCCGCTGGGTGACATCGCCTTTGGTATATTCTTCTTCGTCGTTGGCCAAGTGATCCTGTACGCCGTGAGCACTCAGATTTGCACCGCCGTCAGCCACTACCTCGACGGCCTTTTCTTCGCCACTATCTGCAACCTGCTGGGTGTCATGATGGTGTACAAGGTATGCAAACTTGAGAATCTTGAAATGACGGCATTTACTGATCCGCTACTACAGTACTGGGACTCAATTACCCGCGAGGATCTCGAGTTCTCAGTTGGAACTAGGATGAACAACTGGGAGGTCAAGGAGCTGCTGCCAGAGGAGGATCGTCGAGCGACTGTTTATGACAACGACCCCTACAACCACGCTGGTGGATACGATCACTCCTACTCGCCCTCTCCAGCACCGGCACGCTACTCCGCAAGGTACTAATGCGGTATCGAGGTTGGCGGCGAGGATGTGCATGACAACGTCTAGACATTGAATGGGCGTTTTCCACGGCGAAATTTCACGACAGGAGTCCGGATCTTGCCGATCTGCAGCAAATATTTTTCGGACATCTGTGTTACTTTGGGGATGACGACGACTTGGGCATTGAATCAGAATGGCGTTTGGGGGTAAAAACTGTCTTTACAGGTCGGGCTGCATACCGAGACACGGCCGATTTTGAGTTTTTGGGTTGAGGCGGGCGGCCGAGGCGGCGGGGTCGGTTGGTTGTAGGATCAAACAGCAATCAGCAACAGCGAATAGGTTAATAACGTTAGCACGTATAGGTATCGATGCCCACGGGTGTCAGTAGTACATAGTTTAATTCAATCAAGATAGAGCAATTTCAGTGCGCCTGGTAGGAGATTACGAGTCGTCAGCTAGGGGAGACGAACAAGGGGAGGGGTCGGAAGGGAATGCAAGCCGCGTGGTCCTTCACCGGGGAGGCCAGTATAAGCGCAAGATGAGACGGAGGAAGTCTTGTCCCGGTAAACGTATCATTCTACGGTTCTACCTAGCTCGTTCCGAGTTTGTACGGATATACAAGTTGAGGCGGCGATGTCTTGGCATGTGTAGACACTATGTGACTCTGCAATAAGGGTATATGTGGCAGCTTGACTCGAAGGTTATATTGAGTTTGGCCTGCCATCCACGTTATAGTAACAGGAAAGGGGGACAAATTTGGCATGAGCTTAGATCAAGCTTTGAAAAGACTTCAATGGTCAATCAAGGTGAAGCATAACAGATGGTCCGCCGCTGGGGGGCTAATTAGATGCGTATGTAGTCCGCGAGACCCCCGGGCAAAACCTTGAAGGCAAGGAGCAACAAGCGAGCAATGTCCCAGCCCGCAAGATAAAGTCGCATCCACTGCCCGAGCAGCGCGAGAGGCTCGGGCTTGGAGGCTTGGAGGGGGGGATATAGATACGGATACACGGACAGACAAGCGTTGACAGGCTTGAATAAAAAAGTTAACAAAAAAGAAGGTTTTTTACGATCTGCGTCCGTGTCTTCAAGGTAGGATTTGGATTGGAAGGGGTGGGAAGTGGAGGTGGAGTCCCCAGTCTGAGATGCACGGAGACCGGAACACGGAAACGAGGCCGAGTGAAGTTTTTAGCTAATGTGCGTGAAGTGAGAAAGGTATCCGTACTGGCACACCGGATGTAACTCGTACAGATGGTAACCAATCGCAGCACATGACTCTGCCGGTCAGTGTCGGGAGTCTGTACCTCATGGCATCAGTTCAGGCGGTTAAACGGTTGAGCAGGTAGGCTAAGCTGGAACTTGGAGGTTTTGATATTGGAGGAGGGGACGAGGTAGGTAAGTATCTCAAGAGGTGGAGGGGACCCAGGCACCCAGGTCATAGTGCCTTATCGGGTACATCGGATCTGTTATCGGCGTGCGCTAGCCTGAAGCTAGGCGGCTTTCCTGAGTTTCCTCGCACTTGCATCCAATCACGTGGTCTAGGTGTGACGATGTAAAATAGGGTTGAATACCTACCTAGGTAATTAGATTTCAATTGTCATGAGACACGGTTCCTTGGAGCGATCCAAAGCAGTGCTATCAACATGATTGAGGGAATGAGTTGGTGTTGCCCATAGGATGGCCAAGGAGCTCTGTCTGCATCCATGCGTACCTAGGTAAGTACCTACCTTGAGCATTCTGCCGATTGCGCAATACTTGTCCGGATTTCCATGTCGAACAATGTCTGCTAGGGAGGCACGAGGGACTGGGGAAAATACTTTGAAAAGGTACATGCACAATGCATGGGCCAACAAAGCACCTTACGTTACCTACCTTAAGGTGCTCCGTACTCCGTACTTTGTAGCGCTACCTTAAGTGCCTAGGTACTCCATACTAGGTAAGTGACAAGGTATTCGTATCAGCTTAGGTTACCTCAACTATTGATACCATCTAGCAGGGTATTGCACCCGAAGATAGAACAAGGGAAGGACGCAGTGAATGTCGATTGGCCTCTTCAATATTGTGCATGTGCCGGTGGGGGCAACTGGCAGTCCGTTCCTGCCATTTTGCCAACATTGAGGCAAGTGAGTGCCTATGTACGGAGTACGTTCATACGAATAGTGCTTGAGCTGGCCGACTATTTTGGTATGCATCTGAGGTACCTTTACCTTATTGTGTCTATGTGCGGATTCTATCCGTCCATCGGCATCGATTACCTTTTGTGAAGGTGGCCATCTGTTTGATTATCTACTTAGCTCCTCCGCAAGGTAAGGTACTTAGGTAGGTGTGATGCATGATAGGAATAGGTGCCTCAGGGACTAGAAAAGCAGGGGAAGCAAGCAAATTGAAGCTGCTTTTCCTAGCCCATGGACCAAGGTGCCAGCTATTGTCCATTGTTCCGGCGTTTTCTTTCATTTTGTTGAAATTTTCCTTCTCCCTTACACAAGGCCCCCTTTCTCCCCCCCGGGTACGGAGTACATCTTTCTAGGTTCTAAACAAGGCCACCACGCATTCGATCTGATTCAAACCCGGGTCCTGTTTGCTTGGCTTTCCCCTCCCCAGACAAAACATTTACCGCAACCGACTCAGTCCATCAGGGGATTGTCGATAATCGGACAGCGCGTAACAGCCGACGACCGACCAACGCGCAACTTCTCTAAGACCCGGTCTGCAGTCTGCCCCATCATCCATCGCACAATAAGGTACCTTACCTCACACACACACCCACCTCCCCCCAGTCCAACTCCCTATCTATTCGTACTCTACGTATACATACACGAATGACTATCTTGCCCAGCCCCCCCTCATCCCTTCCATTGCGTCGGCCCAGGGGAGTAAGCGTCTACTTTCTTGCGCCAGATCACGTGCAAACACGCGATACTCATTACCTGACGACTAATCAATCGTCTTCCAACAGCGGCTGAGGTTCAATTTGGTGCAGTCGACTACCTACTCACCTAGGTATTCTCCCAAGGAACCATCCAATCTCATTCGCACCCGCATCGCATCACGTCTTTCTGTCCGCATCTACAACAGCAAATCATCACTGGGCAGCAACCCCGGACCTTTTCTACCCTCGAGAATCCGGCCCATCACTTCCCGGCCTGTCTCGCTCACCCATCTCAGCCGTCGACCCAGACCAGCACCCATTGTCATTTTCCGACCGCGTGCTTGAAGGTATCCGCCTATCGCCAAATTCCACCGGGCCTATAATCCGCCTATCCTCAACGACATCTGCATTAGTCCATTTCTCGTCCCCTGCTCACCCACGCTACCGTTCTATTGCTCGGAATTTCGATTTCGATACGGCCACCTAGGGACTTGGGACTGTCGTACAGCACACTAGCAGCCACCGTCCTGCAAATCTGCGTCGCTTGACGTCTCACTCACCCACATCCCGCTACCCGTTGCAGTCAAGTTCCTATCCGTATCTTTTGACGCTATCGCCTCATCTCCCGTCTTCACCCTCACCTCACCCTCACTTTCAACCAAACTTCCAACTGTCGCCTTACGTTTTCATCTCCCGTCGGCTATTTCCTTCCGACCCTTTACGTGGATTACACTTCCCGCTACGGATACCTACCTAACTTACCTCACCTAACTTTACCATCCCCGGTCTGACTTTCAGAACCCCTCTCCCGTTGCATCGCATCCCACACAGGCACACACAAATCTCGACAGCACCTCACCTCACAGGCTCACAGGCCATAGCGCCGGCATAACACACCCAAGGTCGCCGCGGATTGATCGACGCTCGCGACATCTTCGGCTTATCCACACAGTTCACACCCCTGGTCTGACTGTCGCCGCATTTCATTTCCATTCAAGATTCTCCATCTCCTTCAATGCGAAACCCCAGTCTTGCTTGGAACGGTCGCACCCTCGTGCTCAAGTAATCTCGATTTTCTGCCCGACCGATCTCGAGAGCTCGCGCCCCGTGTCTCCAACTTTGGATGAACCGCACTGCTGCGTTTATCGACGCATTTCACTCACACCTGCGCTCAAAACCCGCCCTTTTCATCTGCTCACCATCACCACCACCGCTACCCTGCCAATTGGGGCGCCTTCACCATGCCTTTCGATCCTGGAGATGACAGGAGGCCTGTCACCCAGGATGAGGAGCAATACTGGGAGTCTATGCGCCAGCTGCAAGAGCAAGACGATGAAAACCTCGACAAAGAGTACCTCAACAATGCCAAGTACTACATGGCACGCTTAACCGAGCTAAACTTGGAGAAAAATGAGCTCGAGCGACGTGCCCTCGAAGTTCACCGCGCCATTACCCGGGAACACAGGCACCTTGAAGAGCTCAACGACAGGTTCCAAAACACCAGGAAGGATATGAAGATTCAGCGCGAACATCACCAGAGGCAGTTGGCTGTCTGGTTCGACGAGCAACGCCGGAAAGACAATGATGAACGTGTTAGCATTGCAGCTGCAGCCCTCGCCGGCGCTGCCCCGCGGCGCGATTCGGCGCACATTGAAGCGTCACATCTAAGCAAGGTCGCCAGTGCTGGACTCAATGGCATGAACACCAACGGAGAGCATCGGAATGGCGCCGCCGTAACGATCCCCAGTCATGTCAGACCTAACCAACCTCCCTTGACCATGATCATTGACGCATCGGGTCGTACTGTTGGACCAGTGAACCGCCTCGTATCGAGCAATAGAATCGTCATATATCTGTCCAGCTTACCTCAGAAACGACCTGTCCAGCTCCGCGATGGCATCATATTCAGCCAGGACGACATGAAGGCCTTCGGAGAGGCGGAAGACAAGTGGAAAGGCGCCATCATCCAAGCCACAGGCCTCGTCCGGAAACAATCGCAGCAGTGCGCTCAATGTGCTAGCGGCAGAGGCCCCTTTGTGCAATGCATTGGCCTCGACATGCCTGAATTTCAAGCATGTGGTAACTGCGTTTGGCAGAGCACAAACTGTTGCGACGTTCCGCCGTCTATAAACCAAACGCCGCCCACGAGGGGGTTCAAGGCACTCAACGCCCAAGATGTATATAACGAACGAGCCGCTAACGGCAGCTTTACCAACGGCACTGCGACTCCCGTCGGCCATAGCCGACCTGGCTCCCGAGATAAGAGCTTTGCCGAGGGCTCAACAGCTACCGACGAGACAGAGGAGGACATGACTCCAATTACCAAAGCGAACCTCTTGTTGAAACACGATGGGAAAGTCTTTACGCATCCCGAGTGCATGGCCGGTGTACCCGTCAACAAGATTGATCAGACACACGAATACTGGGACCCAGCCTGGCCGGATATCGTGCCCACGATCGAGCCGACATTGCAGTCATGGCGAGACAAGCTACAAACTGCTTTAGAAAAGGGGCAGACCAGCATGAAGTTCCAACTGGGAAGACAGGTAAACCGAGGAGAGACTATTCTGAAGTTTTTGAGCGACGCCGACTTTTGCCCCTACCAACTAGTGGGAAAGAAGTATATGATGACTCGTCTGGTTTCCTACGACACCATTTTCCGTCTAGCCGACACTCTGCGAACTCTGGAAGGCTTCAAGACTCTTGACATCACCCCTCTGGAGTGGCTACGTCAACGCCTGCAGGAAATCATTATCTTGGATGGACCGGACTTCAATCTGGCCAAGACGATCCATGACTTTTACCACGATTCAAAATACGTGGCTTTGAGACTCGCCAACGGTAAAAAGAGCATCGGAAGACCGTCGGGCATGAAGATGGCGCCAAAAGACTCGCCCAACTCGGCCAGAGGCACCCCAAACAACAAAAAGCGCAAGCTTTTCATCAACGAAGAGTATCCCCTCGCATCCCAGCGTCCGCTTGCCCCAACACCGACACCTCAATTCCAGTCCCAGCCTCAAGTTCATCAGATGCAGCCTCAGATGCAAACCCAGGTACAGCCTCAGGTTCATCCACCTGTCCAGCCTCAACCTCAACCCCAGCCTCCGCCTCCGCCTCAGCCACAAAGTCAATTGCCACCAAGCCAACTTCAATCTCGGCTAAGCGAGACACCTTTGAGTGCGCCGCCGACTCCCGAACTTGCCAGGCAATCCAAGAAGCTCAGGACAGCGAGGATCCCTGGAAAGCTCAAAGATGAAGATTTACACTATGACGGCTTCACCGACGTTGATGACTACAGCGGCGATCATATCGGCCCACATGACTGGGCATTAAACCGGATCAAGTCCCGACTGAACAGCGTTAGCACCGGTGTGACACAGTACTGGCACTGGATTCCGGACAATGGAGAGCAGATCTTTGAGCACCAAGTGCTTGCGGAAAGCGATACTTTGACCTGGGGCATTTACGCCAAGCCAGTAAATTTCCACTTGGAGTTGGAACACATCCAGGAGATGAAATGGGCCACCGACACTTCCAAGGTCATCGTGGTTTGCAAGGACGGCGTTGTGATTTCGCCTGATGGCAAGCCTAGAGGCGACCTCTTGGCTGAGTTCAAGAGGGACCGCACCAAGAGGCGTTTCTTGGTCTTTTGCCGCAAGAAGGGGGTGGAACTGATCAAGGTTGAGGCGTGAGTATTCCACGTCTTTGCGATGACAAGGAAAGGCAGCTAACGCAATGTCATAGGGACGTCATACAAAAAGCATGGGACGAATACGAATCGCCAGATGTCCCGGCGATGCCGGATTCGGAGATTGAGTAGGACAATGACGAGGAATTTCAGTGGCTGTGAAAGCACAAACAGAAGAAAGGAATTGGAGGTCTTTCACGTTATAAGGAAGGAGAATGGCGGAGATACCCCTGGTTTCTGATTTCATTGGGTGTCATTTCCTGCGGCTTCAGTGGAACTTGAGCCTGCAATGGCGTTGGGTTGCGTACCATCGCAGCCATTTTGGTCATCAAGCCATGTCGCCATAAGACATGGTCCTTTGAGTCCCAGGCAGCACATGATGGCACGGGATGCCGTAGCTTGGCTGCTTGCCATAATTGTAATTGGGTGGACGATGCTGCCTGGGACACTGTAGACATGGTGGAGTTTTTGGCTTTCTTGTGGGAGAAGAGGTGCCTTTGAGCATGTCTTGCATTTTGCAGTTGTTCGTCTAGAGTCTTTGCATGGCTCTGAATTCGAGCCCATCTCTCGTGAAATGGACGGGATAGATAGAAGCGCTGAGAGCGGAGGAAACAATGAACCGTATTTCTCAAAGGCCTAGAGGCCTCTCACTCTCGACCCATGACTTTCACTGTAAGCCCCAATGGCTCCACCGCATTGCAGGTCGTCAAAGCCATGTTTGTCTTTGGGGAGATGTGCGTCATGCGGCTCAGAGGCGTCTGTTTGACAGCCCCTTCTCCTTTTCGCGGATGCGACGTCCCGGTCCATGGCACCGGGCTGGCATCTCGTATTCCGGCATTTCAACCTCGGCTATGAATCCGATTGGCAGGGACGACTGCGCCGCGGGACTGTATTGCGACGTTCCCAACCGCTTTGGTCGCCAAGAGTCATCACATATCAGATTGGCCTAGCCGATGCTGGCATGCGGTCGGAGCTGGCGCCTGAAGAGCCGGATACTGTGTTGTCGCGGACGGAGTCGGGGGCCGGCAGATCGGTGCCCCGTCTATTTCCACCGGATGACGGTCATCACTTGGGCATCCTTGGTCCCCATCTGCTCACACCCGCCCACTGACCTTTCGATCGTGGTCAAACCAGGCATCTTGGCTGAGATGACTGCTCGGACGGCTAGCAGCCATGGCCCACTGACTTTCTCAGTGGACCGTGTGTGCCCTGACACTCTCGTCAGTTGCGCCTATCCGTTTGTTTGATGTATCTCTTGTGGTGGAGATTGGTATGCGACATGGGCAACAACATGAGGTGAGCTAGTTAGTTAGTCTTGTTTGCTGAAGACGGCATCTAGGCGAGCTGCATGTCTCCTACGCGGAAGTATGAGATTCCAACCACTCCTACAATCCCATGTCTTGCATCCTGGAAACATGGGGCAATCTTTGATGAGGCAGATCAGATTGCCTTTGGTACCGTTCACTACAAACCCTTGCAAACTACGAGTGCCAACTTTCAAACGTCGGGCCGCGGCATGTCTAGCTTAAAGATCACCAAGGAGATCTTGGTTCTCCTGGACTGGCGCTTTCGGACGATGGAAACGCTGCCTACCGATGTCTTGCACTTTCCGGATGTTAAGCGGTGAAGGTTGTCAGGTTTTGATTCTTCTCCGTGGAGGAATCATCTGAGCTATTACTAACGAATCCCCCGCGACTCCTCGTTCCGCTGGTCTCTCCCTTCTTCACCTCCTATCCTTACTCTTATTCTCAGCCCTCATCAGACTATTCTGCGTGGCCCCCGGGCCCAGGCCCAACTACCTTACTCAGTTCGGGCCTTGTTATCGCTCAGCAACTATAGTCGGCAGACACCGCCTCGCACGTCAGCAGGGATATCGTGCTCTCATGTTGCCTCCTTCCCTTCCTACCGGTCGCCTTATAATCGGCCTTTCTTTCTCCCCCCTTCTTTATATCAGAATCCCCCAGGCCCACATCTATATCGCACCCACATGAGACACAACTCCACTGAATATCCTGGCTGACTACGTGTTTTACGATATCATAACACGACGCGACATGGAGATCCGGAGCGGTCGTCTCCCCTCTTCTGGAAATATAGAACCTTCGGACTACGATCTGATCTGGATTCCAGTATATAGTCGCTCCCATTCCTGTCAGCTTACTTTGTCCCCGCGCCTGCCTCGCTGTTTCATCCTGTTGCCATATTCCGTGATCCGGCCTGGGTGACATCTGCAGCTTTTTGTTGCTGCCCTGTCGACTAAAACTCGGTACATGTAGTTGGGCTCTCTTTTTTGCGGAGTCGACGGAAGACTCCGGGCCCTCGCGAGAAAACACCAACAACTGAGGCGGCAGTGGCACCGATCGGACGACACTGGAGGGACTTGAAGCAGCGTGCTATAAGCATATCACCCTCCTCGATTGGTAGAGTCTCCGCGTATGCCCCCCCCCCCCCTAGAATCTTGAGGTCCGTCGTACTCTTTCTAACCTTTCTCATCCCACAGATGTGTTCTGGTTTCTGGCATCTCATTCTTTTTGACGTTCTTGGTCGGCACTATACCCCGGGCCCTTTTGCAGGTAGCAGACGCGGTATATCGCCTATGTGGTCAGCGCCTTCCTTCGTCCGGACAAAGTCCTCGTTCACGCGCGTTCCAGCAGATGTGTGCACTGCCTCTTGATCTGTCCAAGAGTCGAGATATTTTCGGTGCATACCTATCTCTATGACGTGCTATAGCGTCTCCTTTGTTGAAGGATCGAGTCCAACGCGAAGCTACTAAAGACGGCCATGCAAAACAGCTTGAACCTTGACCTGAAATAGTCCTATGGACTGAACTCTCGGGCAAATCGGGCAATAATGTAAAACTGTTCGAACGGCACAGTCTCATGCTGGTGGGCCCTTGCTGCTGTGGTTTCCTCTTCGGCCACTTCTCTCTGTATCTATTGCGTACCCTTGATCAGTTCATCGGCAGAAGCGGTAGTTGAGTAGTGAGTCTCCACGTCTTGAGAGCAGTGCCATGAGCTAACGTTGTTGTCAGGACGCAAGCCCACCGTTCCGATTGCGATGGGCCACGCTTGGCTTCGCCTAGACTACGGCCTGCTGTTGAAGGAATTGTGCAGGCCCAGCCAGACGCTCTTCGTTGTTGCCTGGGACACAGGCGACGGGGTACACCAATTGCTGCCGACGGAGTTGACGCCACACCATCTCCCGCCCTTATATTCCACACAGCTACGAGCATCATCGTGGATGCTATTTTCCGTTTGGGCTTCTTCGGGAGACGCATCTAGGGTGCCAGGAATGATTGGCATCTATCGATAATGCCTCGACCGTCATTGAGGGCAAATTTCAGGTCAGCGCAAATGGTGGTTTCCTTTCTTGGAACTCGCTCGGCATGTTTGAGGCCGTATACGAAATCTTTGACAAGCACTTGAAGGATCGCTTCGAGGGACTGGCCTTTGTGGATCGGGCAGCTCATTCTGTTCTAGCTATCTCAGCTCTAGGCCATGGGCCCTGGAGCCCGAGATGGAGTTGGCCTCAACAAGCCAGAGGTCTGCCAGGAGGGCTACTTGTTCTCGGCGGTGGCCCAGTGGCTGATCGCGCACCCCGAGGACTTCGCCGACGTCGACACCATGAGCTCCATTGCTAAGCGCTGGAACACGACCATGGCTATGACGAGAGACATTCTGGTGGGTAAGCCCCCGGAGCCCGATTCCGTGGTGGCGGTACAAACACTTGGAAAGACTTCTCACACCTCCGTGCTCCGTTCTGCCCAGCTGGGTTGCGGGCTACCGCAACGCAATCCTGATCCACGATGAGCACGACGTCGTCGAGATAGCAGACGACATGGATGTCGACGTTGTTTCCATCCCGTCCACCGATAACGAGGCCCCCGAGGAGAATCGACGCGAGAGCGCTGGAGGACGAGATGTCGTTGCCGCCGTACTCCCATCCATGCACGTCGACGGAGCGGCCCAGAGCGGCGAAGATGCACAGCACCCTGGCGCGGAGCCCCTCGCGCCCATCCAGCACCCGGCCCGTGTTTCGCACGACGAGGGAATGGTGACGGGCCCCGACGAGAATCGACGCGAGAGCCCTGGAGAACGAGATGCCGTTGACGGGGGCTTGTATAAAGCAAGCAAGAGCCACTTCGTCGGTTTTTTTTCTCTGCCGCAGACTATAAAGACATGCGTCGTTGCTGGGGGGAGTGTGAGGGAGTGCAACCGGCACCTCGTATACTTTCTGATCCGTCCATACCAGTTTGAAGCAAAGCTAGCGAATCAGTAGCATGCTGTCGGTTTCGGAGACTATCGAGGAGAAGCCCTTGGCACGAAGTTCGACGCAGATCACCACGATCACACACACCTTTTCTCTCCCACACTCCCAACTATTACTATTGTTCTTGCGGTGAGATGACTCTCATCTACTTACTCGAACTGCCGGTAATCTACCTTATGCGGCCACATCGACTTCGGAATATCCCTCTGACTATCGTTCATTGTCGTGCCGCTGCTTCTCAGCCCTTATATCTCGGCCGTGGGCCCCACGGAATGAGGTGCTTTCCGCATGGCGTCGATCATCAATCTTGGATTATTTCAACACTCTGGCCTCCCGCGTCAACTCGAGTGAGAACGTCCAACGCCACGAGCTCTTTCGGGCGGGTCACTGCTTGTGTCACTGCTTGTGTCTGCCGTCCATAGCAAGGTCGTCGCGCGTGTTGAACGTCGCCTCAGCGCTTTCGCCAACCCACCACATCCATATTGCCATTTGGATCTTTTGTCGATTCCCAAACATCATCTGCACGGGCACCGTCTCCCACTGTATATGGCTGCGCCCGTAACAAGAGCCCCATCTTCAACTAATCACTTTGCACGGACACGCCGGAAACCCACGTAGCCGTGGTAGAATTCTATCACCAAATACATCGATATTGGTCGGAAGTACACGAACCAAGCAATCAACAATCAGGACCTCATGATTTCCTCGGAGCGCCTCGGGCCCTGCTGCTGGACGTGCTCGTCCTCAGCTGCCAGCCCAGCCGGCTGAAGAGGTCGATGAAGACGATATCGACGGCGCCACGAGTGCCTCTGGTACCCCCCATCGGCCCTGACCTGACCGAGGACCCGAACGAGGGCCATTTCGAGCTTCTCGTCGATGTCTCTGAGGAGATCGACCGCAACGTCCCTACGGGCATGGCGGTCTCTCACGCGAAGGAGCTTCGCAACACCCAGGTCCGCATTATCTATAACCGTCGGAAGACCGTGGTTAGCCTCGCCTCCCCCGCCCCTGCCCATACCGGTGTCCCCACAGAGGACGACTTTGATCTCCCTGTTGCGGTATCGCAGGAGGTCGATCGCGAGGCACTCACGAGCATAGCCGTCTCCTTGGCCAAGACCCTCCGCGGGATAAACATTCGCGTTATCTCTAACCGTAAAGAGATCGTCGTTAGTATAGCCAACAAGGCTATCAAATTATCGGACGTAATCTTTAGTACCCTATTATACTATCTAAAGAAGAACTTAATAGCCATAGTAAAAAGAGCTCGAAACCTAGACAGTATCATATCCGGCTTCGAGTACCACGGGAACTCCCAGAACCCCTATATTCTCAGAAACCTAATCTAGGGCATCAGCGTCATCCAGTCGTATACCAACTACAGCAGTGCGGCCGTCATCCGCCTCAGCCTTACCCAGGTTAAAGTATATAATAACTACTAGTACCTCTTAAGGACTCTAAATTCCGACCGGGAGTCCGCCCTCAAGGCGAACCTCCTTAAGGAGTTCAAAATCCTCAACGGCAGGCCCCGTCGCCACGGGCAGAAAAACGAGACCGTTACCCTAAAGGTGCTCAAAAAGCACTTAGCCATCTCGTCCAACGACGTCCGCAGAATCATCAAAGCTACCAAGTTACCTTGGATTCTAGCCTTGGTCTGGGGTCGCGGCAGCGTCATGTCCCCACCCCCTGAACAAGAGCGGGTATATTTACATTGTCTCCTTCTTCCACTTTATCGTCTTCCGCCAACAACCTCCTGTCGGTCTCGCCAGGATTTCGACTATTGGAATTTGAATAGCCGGCCAAAGTAAAGGAATGGACGAATTGTCTGGGCAATATGGACTCTACTACTCAAATTGTCTTTCTGACCTCCTCATTTGAGAACTCCGTTGGCTTAGCACAAGTCCTCCTCCTACGTCCAAACCTCATATCTAGCAATACACCAGATAATTGACTTCCCCGTCGAAGCTTTCACCGACGATACCATCAACCTTACGAAACCACTACCATTCGTTCTCACTATAGGCCATACCAGGGGCCCGCGGAGGCAATCGGCTACGAGTTCATCCATTGCTGTCACACACCTGAGCGCCCCTCAGACTAGTGAAGCGCCCACAGCCGTCGTAGCGAGTCAGCAATACTGCCCTGGGCCCGATTCGAGTTGCGAGACACACGAAAGGGCGGGCCGGTTTGTTCTAACCCTCGCGGCGGTCGCATGAAAGAGTTCATGCTCGACCCTCTTAAGCTTGCTTACGGTGGGACTTCAGCTGCCATAGGCTGCTCCGCGTCTGCACCTTCTTCCCCCGCTTCGAAGGCGCCAAAACCGTGTTCCGCGTCACCTAGTCAAGATGGAAGCGGGCAATGTAAGTGCCCGTCTCGTCGTTCATCCTAGCCAAGCCGGTCTATGGACCCTCGGTGTCTGGACTTCCGTTTATCTCGGGATATCGCGGATCGTCGGATCATCTGGGAGCTACAACGAGAACGTATACCAGCGGCCCTCAAGCGACTGCGTATGCGCGTCTGTGGTGTGACCGAACGGGTCAACAACAAGGATGATAGTCCCGCTTATTGTTGCGTTCCTCTTGAGTATATACCACCCCTGGCAAGATTCCTCACATCACACCTACTGTCGCTCCTACGGGATTTCGACAATGTCCTTGGTGCTCTTTAGCACGTATAAGCAGTGCAGTGCGGCCCTCCACGGCTTCCCCGGGACCAGGTACATGGTTCACTTCTGCGGGCGATTCCAAGGAACAACGCAAAACATCAAATTAGTGGACATATCCAAATATGTTGGGCTTATTCGAGGAGACGGCCGAAGTGATCGCGGGGGTTAGCGAGCACCACATCATCCAAGTCAGGAAGACATGAGAAGAGCCGATGTTGGCTTGCTCTTCTTTCTTTCCCCCATACATGGAAGTCATCTTTCGCGCTATTAGCGTCGACTTAGCAAGTTATTATCATGGAGGACCACGTCACCCACTTTCTCCTCGACCTCAAAGACATTGATTTCACGTTGAGCGTGACACCGGCGCAACTGTGGCAAGCAGGAGGTGGACAGCATGTGAAGATCTCCGTGATCGAAACCCACGGGTCAGAGCTCGCCGGCAGCGATCTTGGGATTTCTTGCGAAGCTAGTCATGTATGGGTGCTTTGCCAATCAATGGTCGAGTAGGCAGCGGATCGATATCCATCAGAGACTCTTTGCTAGACGCTCACATGAGCCTCCAGACGTGGAAGATTTGGACATGTTTGGCCACTGTATATCCGCTCATGCCCATGAAGGCTATTGGCGATGTAGTCACACTAGCAGCTGCTGATGCTACTGTCCGTCTCCATCATCCAGTTACTGCAGCTGGGTAGACAGCATGGAACTGTGCCGTACAATTGGCCCCTCCGTTTACTTTTACTTCTGAGGCATCGTTGGCTGTGGCCAATTCTTCACCAGCCAATTGGCTGCCCTGCTGACGCGTATACCAACACTGTGTCTCTGGTTTCGAACATGCCGTCTTGAATCATCAACCCAAGCCGGGCCAGCGGGTTGCCCGATACCAGCGGCCTCGTCAAGGCTAGGGAGCGAGACTCCTCCGACAAGGCCATGAACACGGTGTCTGTAGAGGACCTGTTGGGTATGGAGTGGGCCGACGAAATCCAGGTGGCTTGCTTTGCTCAGCAGGTCCACTCGGAAAATCACCTTTCTTCGATATCATCATATGTCTCGAACCCTGTCACTAGCCACGGACTGACAGCTAGGTTCTCAACTACGATTATAATAGGCTGTGTGGCTCTTTGTGCTGCGGCTTCTTCGAGTTTGGTTGGGAACTGTCCCGAGTCGACTACACTATCGGGCGACAGCGGAGGTACTCCGCGCAAGCCAGGTCTGAGCAGCGCGAGAAGAAGGACGATGAACACTGATACTATTCTCATCGACAAGTTTGGGACGAACAAACGCGACAACAGAGAAGGCGATTCACCTTCTTACGACGCGCACACGCAATCAGTCGGGGTGCGGGTGTGGTCAGTATCTGGAATCAATCGTTCGCAGACCAGTCCCATCCGTTATGTCGTCGTTCTCGAAATCGAGAACATCGATCGCATCTGTCAAGAACACGTCCTCAAGACTGCTAGCCCTGGTATGGGTGGTAGTGGAGCTCTATCGGAATGTCAACCTGGAGCCCTCAACATCGACCACAACAGGGCTACAAGCCAAGAAGATCACCATAGGCTCGGATTTCATACCATCCATCACAGGGCAAATCCGAAGAACTGAAGACCCAAGAGGTATAACAGAAGACGCTGGAACGATTGACTAAACGCCGTCAATATACATGTAATTTCTAAAGAACCAACAGACCAACGCTACAAGATCATGATTCTAGATAGTCTCAGAATGAACACTACCGTACTACACCCCCAATTTCGTAGTCAACCAGCGTGCAAGTCGAACGCACTTCTGATCAATAAATCTCCAGTGCAAATCTCCGAACCACAAGGTGAGCACAATTACCACGGTAAAACTGCAAGTCCAAGCCACACCGAGAGAATACCCGGCGTTCTGCATCGAGAACTTGAGACCCAAGCCGAGGAAAGACCTCTCAACAGCCCAGTGAACCAGATACATGCCGAAGCTGACCTCGCCCAGGTATAGCACCCAGCGCGCGTTCAACAAGCGCTGCAAAGGCGGTAGGTTCTCTAGGGATGTTACCAGTATCATGGCACCGACGGCCGGGAAAGTGCGCGCCGGGTCCTGGCCGAACGTGGGGAAGATTTCGAGCCACCCGTATCCCACGGCATTGAAGGTGTGGCCATTGATGGGGTAGCCTCCTAGCCAGAGCGAGAACACAAAGACCAGCCACCAGCTGTACGAAGCCGTTCTCTCAAGTGAACCCTCCAGGCTCGGTAGCTTGTTCCGCAAATGGCGGATGTCAGCGAGAACCATGCCCCAGAGAAAGAGGCAAGGCTGCCACATGTCTCCATCCGCGCCGAGGGTCCAGAAGAAAACGAAAATGATCGCCACCACAGATAGCCGGGCTAGGGGAGATACCCGTGCCAGGGCCAAGCAGCACAGGAACACGAGAATTGATCCCCTGAACTCAACCGACAGTGTCCAGGCCTGAGGCAAGAAGCTGGCGGTGGTTGTCTGAGTCGTGATGATGATGAAATTTTGCCATATCAAGACGAGAAGCGCCAAGATGCCGGTGGCTGGGGCTGCCTCAGGATCCCTGCTTCCGCTATTGTAGTACAATCCGTATGTTTTCAAGACGAGGACAATGAAAAGGAGGGGAATAGTCGGGAAGAATAGCCGCATTCCGCGGCGGAAAACACTTGATGGAAGGGACCCAATGCAGGCTTCAACTTGTCCACTGTGAGCCTTCTTCAACGGGCTATATGTGAGCACAAAGCCGCTGAGGACAAAGAAGATCATGACGCTCAAGACTCCGCAGTGGATAAGTCGGATGAATGGGAGTTGCAAAAAGTAGTGATTGTCCGCATCCTCTCCCCAACCATGGTTAATGAAAACAAACTAAACACCAGATTATCAGCCGTCTTCTCACAATGGTACATCCCGTTCAATGAATGCTCACATCATCAGTGTAGTGGAGGATAATGACGACCATTGCCGCGATGCCACGGAGGCCGTTCAGGTACGACGTTGAGTGGGAATCAGGGACCACGGAATTTTCGTCCCCATGACCGTATGCGTGGGCCACGAACGATGGCACCAAGGTCCAGAAGATGCGTCGTGCATGGGAGCGGCGGAATCGAAACCAGCTCCTTCTGGTGTACTCAATTGGCTTTTCTTCTTCGTACGATAGTTCAGACAGATCTGCCGAAAGATCTGCTTCCTCGTCTTCAAGGAGTGGCTCGTAGGACTCGCCCGCCTGCTCTCCCGAGAACCAGCCACGTACTGTGTCGGCAGACTCCTGGGAGAGGACCTTCATGGCCGTGCCGAGCTCGCCTTGGTTCAGCATCTCGAGCTGTATTATACAAAAGGGATTAAGAGAAGCAAGGCAAAGAGGTCGTGCCGAGGAGGCGGTTTGGTTTGAAAAGAACTGTTCGAGAGATAGTATTGTTGTGAGTCTCCCGGTTTTCTGCAGTGAATAGGCTTCGCGAGTTTATAACTCAAGCCTTCAGGCTGCGATGTATGAACCCTAGCGAACAAGCTGTGCCGATAAGAAACCGAGGCAATCAGGAATGGGAATGCCAAGGGAGGAGGGCGAACGGGGCCGGATGAGGAATCGCATCCGAATCGGAACGCCGCTCACCAGCGAGTGGTCTGCCCGAGACTCGAGGCAATGCAATGAGAGGCCACAAGATACATCAGCATTCCCAATCATATATAGCTGTGTCTCAGTCAATCCCAAAGATATTCAAGCTTCTACACTAACAAAGGGGGCTTCCAGATGGCACTCATCGCAGCCAGGATCGTAACCCAATATGTTCAAGCCTAGGTATATCAATAGTCGGACTTTGCCCAAGATAGAAGAATGAAAACAACGACCCGGCATCATCGCAATGTTTACTTCCGAATGCATGAGTTCCACCTTTCTGAGCAACTAAGTTGTTGAGCCTGCACTAGTGTATTCGTGAGGCTAATCGTTCCGCCCGCGCCACCATGCTTTTGGGTTGTGAGACATGGGCGGTTAAGTCAGGGGCCAGGGAGATCTCGGCACTGATGGGGTTAGTCGCCGTTACACACATTTGGGAGAATCCATTGCGAGACATTCCATGCAAAACGTGTTTGTTACACGATTTCGACCCCCTACCAAGCTTGCGCGAGGAGATTCGCTGCCACGCTAGAGGGAGTGTCGTGATCTCATGAACAACCCCACACTCGCATTCCACGCTCCTCTGTGCCTGCTAATAAGCTATGGGAGTTGCTTACCGAGTGGCGAGGACCATAGTCTCGGCCCGCGACAAGCAAACATTCCGATCATACGAGGACAAGGTTGAGAACGCAATGCTCAGCTCGATGCCGATGGGATGCATCACAAGCATCAAGACAACGACAGAAAGATGGCTCCTGATTTCAAGTCCTGCTATTCTCATTGTATGGTACCATTATCTCAGCCGCAAGTCACGGAGTTGGAATCCGCAGTTACTTGGGCTTGGCGTGAAGAATTTCAGCCGCAAGCCATGGTACCACTGGGTAGTCGGAACTTCGGAAGCACCGTCGCAAGTGACCCGATGAATCTAGCCACTATCCACATGCGCGATAGACTTAAAAGTTTAAACAAGGGCCAATGTCTCCATACCAATCATGATAAGAAGAGGTCGGTTCATAATATTTGGTATGCAGTGTGATCATCGCCCCTGAGAGACATCCCTTAGATGGAGGTGGAAAGTCCCCTTATTTGATTATAGGTAATCCTCGGGCCCTTTCCTTTGCCACAGCTATCGAACACGGAAAGAAATGATCTGATAGTAGGTAGACATGTGTTCTGGGGAAACAGTGGCTTCGCTGGATGGAAAAGTACATGCAAGAATCTGGCGGCTATAGCTTCGATGCTGCAGCAGGGCCGTCGCAACCACAGCCGTCAGCCTCCTTTACCGCCTTGCTAGTTTCAATCAGAGTGCTCTTGTTAAAACTCTGCTCACTAGGAGGCACATCCAACGCGGGGTTCTTGTCAAAGAAGTTGACAGGCTTCAGATGTACCTTGAGAATTTCGACCGGCATGACGGGGAAGTCTTCGATTCTTGGCACATGGTTGATGCCGAACTGCACCCAGACGACAATGTCAGACTCGGCAGTCAATGTCTCATTTCGCTCAGACCAGCCCCTAACACCGGTGCCTCCACGAGACTGATTGGTATACCAACCGCCGGCGTAAAGCTCCCGGTCTCGATGTGTTGTGACATAAATGTTGTGGTCCGCGAACTCGGCGCGCTTGTAGTTAAAGCTGTCGTTATCGCTCATCAGCTTCTGGAAAGGCGGCGCCATGATCTTGTAGGCCACTGGTTTCCCGTTGATGGGGTTGAGGGAATTGGGGTTGGTGATCTTGAACGTGCGGTTCACGTCAAAGTCAAGGTCAAGACCCGATGTTTTCTCCACGACTTTGTCGATGACTTCATAGCCTGTGCCGTGGGGGTTCCAGTTGGGATCTCGCGGCATTTTGTGCGCTTCCGAGTACACCAGCTGGTTGGTGTGTCCATCGATCATGGGGTCGACACGCAGGGAGAAGATGTGTTGATGGTGTCCCGCGAGGACACCAGGGTGGACAACGGTGCCGAAAGACGTGCCGACCTTGTCCAACTCATGGTCAATGGGCTGTGTTGATAGAATGCCGGTAGCTCGGACTTCGTAAGTCACCTCACCCGCCTGATTAAACAAGAACATCAGGATATACTCATAGTTGGAGACCGTAATGATGCTCTGAAGCACTAATTCGCGAGATCGGACGAGCGCGGCACGTCCTGTACGGTAGTTGGTGTGCTTCCAGCCAATGCCTGCATCTTGCTCGTGGATGCAGATGCAGTTATCTCTAGACTCCGGCTGACCGCGGTCATCGGAAATTACACCACTGAGGTACTGAATGCTTCCCAGGCAGTCACAGCCCAGCTGCAGGTTGTTGGCAGTGGCTCCCGCGCCCGCATCACCGAGATCGAAAGCGGCTTTCTTATGGAAGGGATGGCGCGGGTCACCATAGGGCACACTCATCTCTGAGAGCGACAGTCTGTAGAATAGCGGACGACCGTCATACTTGACGTTGTACAACACCATACCTTCGCGCTGGTTAAAGCCTGGAAAACTCCGTGTTAGCCACTATTCCCGGCCATTTTATTCTCCCTCAAGTACGCTTTACACACCGATGAAGAAACTCCACTTCTGCCACTCGAGCACATTTCCGGTCTCTCCCACGGGCGTGACGGTGAAACTCGGTCCCTCAGGTTGAACAACCTGCAGAGGCTTGAGGTCTTTCCGGAGGTTCTGGGCTTCAGGGATGTACTCGTTTCCTGGCTTAGGCGTGTATGGGCTAAGGGGCTTGATGGTGTTGTCCGCACCAGTGGGAAGAATGTCAATGCGGATGATCTTGTACTCGTTGCATTCAACCACAGGCAGAATTGGTAACGGGAAAGCATAGTGATTAGAGTCGGGTTCGGATGAGTTGTTGGGGTCCCTCATATAGAGAAAAACTTGATATAGACGGGCATCATCGTTGACACCATCAGATCCTGGTGGAACTTAGTTGTGAGAAACACGAGCACTTAGTTTAGACACCCACCGTAGATCCACGGATCAGCGCAGACGACTGTGCCTTCAGGTAGCTCGAGTTTTTTGATCTCGGCAAGGACCTTGGGGTCCTCGAGTGCAATCTTCTCGACCAACTGAGCCTCATCATAGTCGACGTTGCCGTGGACATTAGCACCAAGCTTGAGGTTGCTCTCAACCTTTCCGCTTGTCAGATTGACCACCGCTTCGTGGAAGAGATCCTATGATGGGTCTTGTCAGTGTTCTTGTCGGAGCTCAAAAAAGCGAAGCCTGGATGTCGTACCGTTCCCCGGATGTAGTACGCAAGGAAAGCCCTGCGGTCAGGTTGAGTGGCAGACAGTCCCTTGTCCTTTGCGTCCAGGTAAGGTGCCAGTTCTCCCTTGGCGGGTTCACTGAGAGTCACCACCTTGAACCGAAGAGAAACAGATGTTGGCCAAGCAGTCTGGATCACTTGAGCTGCGGCTTTGATCTCCGCACCCGAGAGGGGGCAGAGGGGGTGTGGTGCTGACATGCTGGAGATAGGCATTGTAGTTGAGGGGTTGTAAATGAAGAGACTCGAGATGATTTCAAGCACAGATGAGGGGACAGAAAGGTTTTATAAACGCAGTCCGGTAATGTGTGGATGTGTGGATGTTGGCGGCACCGTTGTTGCTGGCCTCAAACCGGGGCGGGAACTCTCCTCCTTATCGGACCCCGTTGCAGCGACGTAAGTTCGGCGCAGGTGATCCACATTTTAGGAGTGGCGCTTGACCCGCATGTCCCCATCCGGGTATAAGCGTCCTGCAGCTTCGTTCCATGCTGTCACGGCACCTTGGCATCGCTGCTTATCACCAAGTACATGTATCATCCTTGTCCGAAGCTCTGTCCCTGGGCTCCGGTTTGTTGCCTTGACTTTCGTAGATGTCTTTTGGTCTGGGCTAAAGGAATAGCCAACTATCTTCCAGTGACCAGAGGTAGTTGAGCCAAGACTTTGCCATCTTTTCATCATCGTCTCGGGCCCAGATCCTTTCCAGCATCTCAATGGCATTTCTAACATTGTAGCAACACGACGATATCCAGATATTCCTGAAGATTTCCCGTACCATAATCTTAAGATCGGCCGCTTGGATCTCTGCCCCAACGACAAAGGCCGGCCACACCAGGCTCTTCACATGGAAGTCCTGGGCTGAAATGGAGAGCATATGGAGTATGCCGGATCGAGTTACCCCTTCGAGATACAGGTCAGAGAGATTATGCCCTTGATCGAGCAGCGGCCCTACAATGTGAGAGGCGTATACTTCAACCGCCGCCTTGTAAGCGTGCGCAAGGTGCGATCGCGACTGATAGTGCTCCGGATCTGGGAAATTCTCTGCCCAAGCTGATGGCGAGAAGTTGTCGAGACCTTTGCACAGCTCATCGACCTTCAACTGCTCTGTCTCAGAACACGTCGAGAGTGATCGCATAGAGTTGATGACGGAAACTAGGTACAGCAGCTCGGCAGGACAGCCAACCCAAGTTTGATCTTCCGACTGGCGCAAGATCCTTAGGAGAGACGGATCAAGGGATGCTAGTTGCTGAGCGAAAGAGCCCTTTGCTGGCGCCAGTGTTGCGCCGATGATCCCAAATCTACGAGGAAAGTTAGGGGGGAATCCACGCAAGAGCTTTCAGGAAGTGCCCTTACGTCGTGTAGGCTGTGTCAAAATATTCCAGCCAATGATCGGTTCCAATACTGCGATTCTGAAGGGTAGCTTTCCGCTGTTGGAGTATTTCACCAGCACCTCCCAGGTGATGCTCCCATCCACGGCTGCCAAACTCAACCACGTCCATGCAGATAAATAGAACGATAGCTGCCACTGCGGCATCGTTGTTTGTCACATCGTCGTCCTGGATTTCTATCTTGAGATATTGCAAGGCTCTTTGCTTATGAGCTAGAGCTACACGCAGTGAGGGCGAGAAGTTTGGCTGGCTCAGCTGCCAGTCGCGTCCCTGTGACTTATGCCACAGTGAAGTATTCTCAACTTCAAGAAGCCTTCTTTCCGCACAGGAAATTTGCATCTGGCTGATGACCAGCCGATGAGAGTAGTGAAAGGCCGAGATTGCGATCATCGCATGGGACAAGGCATGACTTCTGGACATAAGCGGCATAAGGGACAAGAAAGGATTGCTGGATGTCTGGTAAACGACACATTCCTTGGACATTTCCATGTCAACTAACACAGCATTGTCAGCGCCTTCACCGTGTGATGGTTTCGTTCTGGGTTACAGCTTACAATAGCGTATGTACTTCCGGCAATCAACTGACAAGTCTTGCAGGTCAGGATCGATGAGAGACCATGACACGTCAAGTGATGCCGGCAGTGCTTCGCGCAAAGTGTCCCGAGGGTGTCCCACTGCGAGACGGCCAGACTGGCAAGGCCTTGCGGCGATAAGATCATCATTCGGTTCTTGATCTGCGTCGTATGTGGCTTTTCCCATCATCTTGCCTCGGCTGGCCACACTATTGGTCCACACCAACTTCTTCGGTCGATCATATCCTTGACACCGAAGCTTCAAGGAGGTACAGCGGAGGCAAGTCGGAAGGAGTCTGTCACACTTGGCCCGCTTCTGCCGACAGGTCCAGCACGAATTGGAAGCGTGGGACGCGTCTGGCATGATGGATGGAACATCGTTGGTTGGCTGCCGAGTGTCTTTAATGTTGGATGTTTGCGTGAAGTTGGGTCCGGGCGAGGTGTGGAGGCCGCGGTGGTGAAGATTGGGGGGCGGGGTGTTTTGCTTATCAAATGGCAGACCCGGCGGATCGGGAGGCCGGCAGGATATGCGGTCGGCGCTAGGCCTCATCAGGAAGCCAAGACGCGGCCCTGGTCACAACCCCAGATTCGTCCCTCACAGGCTCACCCTGATCTCGCTGGGGCTTCAGAGTTTGGGGCCTGAGACTCTTCCCGATACCAAATGTGAGCGTTATCTGTGTCTTTTGGTCAACGGAAAACTTTACAATTCATGCATTGGCAGTTTTCTTGAGGGTATGGTGGATCATTGTGAGTCTTCCATAGGCCTCCATCGTGGAAGGCCTCAATCAGGTACAACCCGCCCTCGACTTTGCACTTGTCCCAAAAGCCTTATCATTGAGGATAGAGGAAACTTGTTCTGTTCATTCTGATACCAGCGTAGCAGTTATTATCAAGTCTGCTGGTTCATTCGATTGACCAAGTACATCCTTGTGCAGAGGCCGGATCCGCTTCCCCCGACTTCCGCCGCATTCGGCTCCGTCCTGCCAAAGCCACTCGCAGTCAACTTCCAGTCCAGCTCATATGAGCATTATTCAATCCGCAAAAGTTCTCAAAATCTAACAAACCATTTGAGTTTCCTACCATCTGGAAGATGAAATACCGTGGTTTTTCGGCATCTCGCTTCGCAAAGGTAATCGCCAATTCCCCACAATCACAATGATTCTTGAAGGGCTCATTGGTTAATACGAAAATCCTCAGTATTTCTCGTATTCTCGGGACCCTCTTCCGGGCCCCATCTTGACCGGACCGGGTCGGCCTTCCGATGCGGGGCATTGCCGTTGTCTAGCCTGCGCCGGGTGACATTCTGCGGACGCCTATATCGGAGGGTACTGGCACCGAAATTCGGCTACTCATTTCAGACGTATCCTGCCAAAAAAAAAAAAAAAAAACTGATTCACCGAGGAACCTAGACTGACGTTTAGTCTTTACCATTTCGAAAGCACCAGAACAATCTGTTTGCCCAAGGTCGCCATCCGCCCTGGCATTCACGATGTCTACTGAGAAGAGCCCTTTTTGGGTCGAGTCCGAGGACTGGCATACTGCCGGCGAACCTTTCCGTATCGTGGACAGGCTGCCAAACGGTTATCTACCCGAGGCCCAAACCGTAGCCGATCGTCGTTTCGCAGTCATCAAAACTCCTGGCCACCCGTTAGATGAGCTTCGCCAATCACTATGCCACGAGCCCCGCGGCCACGCAGACATGTACGGAGGTTTTGTCACGCCGCCTGATGACTCTGGGGCTCACTTTGGGGTCATGTTCTGGCATAAAGACGGATTTTCGACTGCATGCGGGCATGGAACCATCGCCTTGGGATACTGGGCTGTTACAAAGGGACTCGTCGAAGCACCCAAAGATGACGGAGTTGTCGACGTCATTATCGATGTTCCTTCTGGGCGCGTGGTTGCCAGCGTCGGCGTCAAGCAGGGCATACCTGTCTATGCCGACTTTGTCAACGTGTTGAGTTACCAACTTGTCAAGGACCTGGAGGTCCAGATCCCGTCTCATCATGCAACTATCAAAGTCGACCTTGCCTTTGCTGGTGCAGTCTACGCTACGCTTGATGCATCTCAGATCGGACTAAAGGTGGAGCCCGGTAGCCATCAAGACCATATCAAACTTGGCAGAGAGATCAAAGCATTCATTGGTGACAAGGCCAACTATGGCACCTACGATCTCTATGGCGTGATCTTCTACAACGAAGAAGGCGATGCCAATAACGAGCGAGACGAGGTGAAACAACGAAACGTCACCGTCTTTGCTGATGGACAGATTGATCGTTCTCCATGCGGTTCGGGTACCTGTGCAAGGCTTGCTGTGCTGCTTGCGCAGGGCAGGATAGCACCGGGTCGCTCCAAGCTTATGCACCGGTCCATCGTCTCTAATAGCTTCCAAGCCGACATCGTATCCGAAGAGACAAGTCCCGTGGAAGGCTTTCCTGCCTGTATCCCACGCGTCCGGGGTCATGCCAATCTAGTTGGGCGGATGAACTTCTACATCGATCCTTCTGACCCGGTTTACCCCGGCTTTCTTCTCCGCTAAACATCGGGCTTTCCAGATCCCTTCGACGGCTTCGGACCCATTTTATGAAGCTATCGCCGCGCCGGATTCTGTCTAGCAGTTGAGCAAGTTGCGCGAGGCGAAGACTTCTTCATGGCGCTGTCGAATCAAATGCGGACGCTACCGACAGCTATGTGAGTTAAAGCAAGTCTGTAGCCTAACCTATCGACGCCGCGGTAGAGATTTTGCTTATCTGCACATTACTTGAGCTAAATGACGCTGCGCTAGAAGTAAGTTTCATAGCAACCGGAATGACCGGCGATCGTCGATTGTATTAGTTCAACCAAATATTGATTAGGCATAATCATTTTGACCATGTTCTACAATGTTGAATGTCCCTTACGAGTCATCGCATCCTGTTTCGTCCTCTGCTCAAGTCATCAAGAGTTATTGCCAGTCGCAACTCCCCAGAAGTATCCGCACCAACTTCCCAAGATAAGCACGATCAATGCTACGAAGCAGCTCTTGGAGATGAGTCTGTTCTTCTCGCCATTCTGCCCGTAGAACCTCTCCTTCCTGACGTTGAGGATCTCGCCACGCGCAATGCGCAGTTTGCGTGTCCACTGAAGGTGTCCCAGGTCGACGGACTTCCAGGAAGCAAACGTCAGGAGGAAAGAAACGACCACCGAGATTCCAGCAAGAATGACGTAGACAATAGTCACCTTGTCGTAAGAGTTATTGTCGTTGTCTTGGATGACGCCAGTAATGACGCGGACGACAATGTTCATCCTGAAGAAGAAGCATCATGTTAGCTTGGACCGGGCATCAGGGAAAGTTTTGAGCAGGAAATATACGCGTTGTTCATCGTGATCTTCAGAGCATATGCTGAACCAAAGACGGTTGAGTCCCACATTGACGTGCGGATACTGTCAATAATGGTGGCTGGTCCAAAGCAGTAGGCGAAAGCGAAGACTCCGAAACTCGCAGCAGTGCCCTGGGTGGTATTGGCGAAGCACACGAGCAACATGGAGGTGAACATTCCAATGCCACAGAAGACTACTAGAGGGCTATGTTAGTTACAAGACCTCATTTTTGTGGAATCGATCAACACTTACAGACTGAGATACGGTTACCGTAGAGGTCAAGGAAGATTCCCAGTAGGGGAACAACGAAGAATCCTACTTATGTTAGCTGACTGAAGGGCACGGGGAAAGCTGAAGAGCAAATACTTACCGGCATATTGCAACGTAGCGCTATACCAACCGGCAGTGATGGAGCTTGTGCCGAAGCGCTGCTCGGCGAGCTCGGTGGCGTTCTGCAGGAAGACAATAGCGGTACTCGTTTCGAATAACGAGAAGCCCATGACTGCCCAGAAGGCCCACGGTAACTCGAGGACCTTACGCAACTCGAACTTCTTTGTCTTTTCCTTCAATCTCTCGCCGGTAGCAGGGTCGCTGACGCCGTGGAATTTGCTATTGGCAACCTTTGTAAACCAATAAAACACGCCCGTCATGACGTTCGTGAAGAGATTCATGAAAACGGCAACCCAAAATACCCAAGCGAAATCTCCCGTCTTCTTGGCGATGATATTGGCAGACGACTTTCCAGCAAATGCACCAATCTTGCCGATGCCGAGCTCGAAGCCCAAAGTCGAGGCAAAGCCGTTGCCGGGGGCAAACCAGGATGAGAAGACTTTGTATTGCGCCACTTGAGTCGCAATATCTCCGAGGGAGCGGATAACTCTGCCCGCAATCATAAACTTGTAAGAGCGGGTCTGAGCTGCCGCTGCCACAAGAATCGAGCCGGCTGAGTAGAGGAAATTGCCGTATAACATGGCACCTAGCTGTCTGTCAGTAATGCTCGTGTCAAGATTTCTGATTATTCGTACCTGCGCCACCAATCCTGTCCGTAACAACACCGCTGAGAAGCATCAGAGCTGTAACCATAAAATCCTCGCTAGCTTCCAAAAGGGAGAACTGCGTGTTGTTGATCTTCATCTCCTTCTTCATCGTTGTCTTCATGGCACCGCTGAGGCCGGAACTCCACTGCGAACCAAATCCAATAGCAGTCACCAACACAACAGAAGCCAGCTTCCATGTCAAAGGAACTGGTCTGAGGCTGCTGTTGACCGAGACTTCGTCGCTATCCGGGGACGCGGAGACAGCGGTTGTAAAGCCCTGCTTCTCGTTTTGACTTGTCTCAGAGACATGGTCTGCGGGAGCTTGCTCGGCATCCCGAGGGGGTGGCACTGCTTCGGCAGCCATTGCTTAGGTGTTGAGGAGGAGAAGAGGTTCAGCTGAGACCGTCCGACTGTGGAAAAACGTAAAGTGTCGACTGTAGAGCGAGAGACGATGTCAATATTTGACGAAGTTTGGTTCTTATAGCATGGTTTACATGAATGTCACTCCGAAATTGACCGATGGACAGCAACGGAGGGTCCTAACCCCGACTACGCGTCTAGGGTCGCAAGCCGTGGATGGCCCTGCGTCCGTCAGGCGCTCCCGCTTGGTAACTGGGTGGCACCACGTGCGGATGAGCAGGCGATGAACTTGTCTAGTCCGACGAAGGCGCATCTAATCAATCAGATTAGATCCACAGTTCGCCGAAATCAAGGTTGCAGAGACCCTTCGATTCATGAATCTGCAGGAGCTAGACCCGGTGATGACAAGGTTGGACCACCAAACTGGGAATATGATGAGTCTCCTTGGGGCCGACAAAGGAGGCAAAACAAGCCAAAGCGCTGTCACTGAAAAAATCTGTCCCGGGGATTGCCCAAAGTGAGTAGCGGCGGCGCAGGAAGTGGAGGTCCATCTTCTCCAAGACGCCAATAAGCATTGTTCTACTGTTTGTGCAGAATTTCTCACAGTGATATTTCATGCAGATCCAAAATCCCTGCCGTTGCAAGGGAAGTCTTGAAGTCTAAATCGCGGTAGTTTGGTGTTGGATGACATTCTGGAGCAACTGAACTTTATCAGATCCTAACACAGAGTACTGGGTTCCCTGAATAAAACCTCGCTGATTCCCGAGGAAAATAGGTCGCAAGCCGGAGGGAAACAGCAGCTTTCATATACTCACTGACTGAACCTAACTTGCATGAGCTAGATACGCATAGTTTCCTCTTGTTCTTCATCTTCAACCATAGGTCGAACGAGGTGACGTTGAAGAACGGACGAATCACAGCTTGGAAACAGGTTTCATGGTTCCTCGGTGATACGACGTTATCCCGCTCGGCTCGAGCGAGCGAGCCTGCCAAGACTGCTACGCGGCCAACATCCGTCAAACAACCACGCTTTAAACGTCTTTTTCACGCCCATCTGGGCCACTTCGGAATCAACAAAAGTCGATCTATCGAGTGAGTGGGAGCCGACCTAAAAGTGCATGCATCTTGCGGGACTTTTGATCCCTGCACGCATTCCTTGGTGTGGGCGCGCTGGGGTTGGAGCTAACGTGGATTGATACGACAGAAGGCACATTTGATCTAGAAGCTCACCTTGCAGCTTGCAGCTTGCATTTCTTTGCCGCCATTGGAACATTCTCCGTTGTTCATTGTGGTTTTATCTTACCAATAGAAAAATGGCGAGGCCGGACGATTCCTCGGCCCCAAAACGCCCTCGCTCGAAGGCAAGTTCGCAAGGGAGACGCAATAGTCGAGACCAACATCAAGATGACGACGTAGTTGTCAATGATGAGACACCACTTCTCAAAACCAGTCATTCCAATATGGCCGTTCCCTCGTATCAGACTCCCGACTTGAGTCTCGTGGCTGAGACAGAAGCACCCCAACAACCAGTGTCTTGGATGTCAATGCCCAAGAAGTGGCAGCTGGGCATGGTCGTCTTTGCCCGCCTAGCCGAACCGCTGGCTGAGCGGTCACTTACATCGTACCTCTTCTATCAGTTGAAGTTTCTCAGTCCATCTCTACCAGACTCGGCAATTGCAAGACAGGCCGGTCTTCTCACTGCCGCATTCGCCGCTGCCCAGTGTGTAACTGGCATGTTATGGGGACATGTGGCTGACAGTCCTCTTTTTGGTCGAAAGCGAGTCCTTCTCGTGGGGCTGCTGGGAACTTGTATCTCAGCGATCGGGATGGGTCTATCTACTTCCTATGCCTCTGTGGTGTTCTTCCGTGTTCTAGCTGGAGCACTGAACGGAAACGTAGGTGTTCTCAGGACCATGATTTCGGAAATTGTTGAAGACAAAAGGTATGCGTGACCTGATACCCCTTTCAGTTGTGGTCGCGTGATCAGTGCTAAAAGGTGAACAGGTACCGATCTCGAGCTTTTCTTCTACTTCCAATGTGCTTCAACGTTGGCGTCATTATTGGACCTCTTCTAGGTGGATTTCTTGCCGACCCTATCGAATCTCTACCCTCAATCTTCGGGCCGGGATCCTTCCTCGGTGGTGTAGATGGAGTCGAGTGGATGATACGATTCCCATACGCTCTGACAAACTTTGTTTGCTCAAGCATCTTGATGATTGCGGCTTTGGGAGTAGTCCTCGGGCTGGACGAAACGCATCCACTCCGGCGCCATCGCCGGGACCGAGGCCGGGACCTTGGACGTTTCCTTCTCAGAAAGGTCTTTAGAATGGAAAGCCCGCCCAATGACTATCATCTCGTTGGCAATGCAAACGAGCCGGCCGAAGCCGGAGACGTTGAGGACCAAACTTCGTCCAGCAAGCCCGTGGAAGACAAGGGCCGGGCGCCTCTGCGTGCTATCTGCACCCGCAACGTTATCTTGACGCTGGTTCAGAACTTTTCCTCGGCTCTCCACGTTTCTGCCTTCAACTCCATACTGTTCGTTATGCTACCAGCACCCCAAGCAGACAACACCAATGCTCAACTTCCATTCCGATTCACAGGTGGTCTGGGTCTGTCATCCCAGAAGGTCGGCTTTGCTAACACAGTCATTGGAGCTGTCGGTCTTCCCCTCCAAATCCTCTTGTTTCCCTGGATCAGCAGTAGGCTCGGTGTCCTACAGTCCTACCGCACATTCCTCCCCTTCAGTGCGCTGGCGTACTGCTCGCTGCCCTATCTCGCCCTGTTGTCGAATAAGAGCCCGCTCTTGTGGCCCTTTTTGTCCGTCATCTTGAGTGCACAAGTCATGTCGAGAACGTTTGTAGGGCCGGCAACGATCATGCTGGTCAACGACTCTGCTCCGCACCCTGCCCTACTAGCCACCGTGCATGGTGTTGCATCGAGCACTTCAGCCGCAGCTCGCATGCTTGGACCTACTATCGGAGGAACTGTCCTCGGCTGGGGACTTAGCAACAACTTTGTTGGTGCGCCGTTCTGGGGCATTACGCTTGTTGCTCTTATCAACTGGTCTTTACTCTATGTAGTGAGGGAAGGAAACCCCATATAGAGTCAATAGATGTGGTATTGGCAGAACTACTAGCACTAGAGGCGGTGTAGAAAACCTCTGCCCATACCTTCACTAGACATACACGTCCCCAATAGATGCAGTACTGCCCATCTCTGACTCAAACCGATCAGGGTCATGTTACAGTGTCCATCGCTCCAACCATGTGCTCCTTTCGCTGGCCATCATTCTTGACCCAGACCGTATTGCTGACGCTAAACGCTTGCATAGCCGACTCCATCCTGTTCTCCGAACATGAATGGTATGGTATCAGATCTCATCTCATAACGTCTCTCTATCAACAACTTGAAAAGAACGTTGACCGATAATGCATCTCATTCGCTTAGACTAAACGTCACTCAAGAAAGATTGCGTGGAAGCCTGCAAACTATCGCCTATCCCAAAACTACTAAACTCAACTCGCGATGATAGTGAACACCGTTTTCCCAAGGCCACCTTTCCCGTTGTACACTGTTGTACACGCCTCTCTCACGCCATCGATATCCCTAAAGTTGACTTTACAACCAACAACAGGCAGGACGTCTCCTTTTTCTGCATAGAGAGCCAGTGTTTCCAAGTCTTTGGCATTGGGATCGAGGAATAGGTACTCATATTTGACACCCCAGCGTTTTGCACGTGCCTTCCGATACGAATCAACCATGTTCAACACCATGCGTGCAAACCACGGGAGACGTGGGCCATCTGGCCTCTTCATCACGCTAGATTGTTGGAGCTGAGTACCGGAGGGCTGCGTAGCGATAGAGACAATGACACCTGTAGACGGAGTCATGAGATGAAGAAAAGACATAGAATCTCCAGTTGTGTCTAAGATGAAGTCAACTGATCCACGAGGAATGACCTGGGTTACGTCTTCCTTAGTGTAGTCGATTACTGGATTCTGGTTAGGTATCACTCTCTGTTCAAGTAGCTAGGCAGTTTGATTGAGGCTCACTTTGGTCAACCGTGCCTTTACCAAGCAACTCTGGTACTTTGTCTACCTTTGATGTTGAGACGGTGGTGATCACTTTGCCAGCATTGAAGACGTTCTTGGCGATCTGACACGCATATGCGCCAGTGCCGCTCACTTGTCAAAGTATCATTAGCAATTTATCTATGTAGAGTTCGATGAATCTCACTCACAGCCAGCTGGTACGAAGATCGTCTTGCCTGACAATGATCCCTCGTATCGTCGCAAAGTTTGCAGTGCGGTCATGCCTGCCAATGGTAAAGAGGCTGCATCATCGAAAGACAGATTCTTGGGTTTGAGAGTAACGTAATGTTGTGAACATTTGGCGTATTCACTCCATGCCCCTGCAAGTATAGTATTTTAGCATCTACACCATTGGTCTATCGCAGTTTTTGGGCGTATACATACCTCGACTTGCCTCCGGTAACCGCGAGTAAACCTCGTCGCCAACTTTGATGCCTTTGACATCCTGACCCACTTCTGTTACGGTTCCTGAGCAATCATAGCCAATTTGATATGGGAATCTGTTTTATTGATATCAGTTGACAAGATCATCGCTTGACTAGGGTTCTCAACGAACTTCTCTTTGACCGCAAGCTTGAAGACTCCTGCTGCCTTCTTGACATCTACGGGATTGATACTCGCTGCGTGAACACGGAATACCACATCGGTAGGCTCTATTACAACTGGCTGAGGGATCGTGGAAAGCTCATATGCGGACGGTTCGCAAAAGCTTGGTGCCGTAACTGCCAACATTGAGGACGGTATTGTGCCAAAAGCCGGATAAATAGTGTCTTTGCAATAAAATCAAGTCGCAATAAAGCTTGTTTGTTTATATACAACTAGCAATGCAGGAACGAATTGTGTGATACCCGAATCCCGTTCGACATTCCGCCCACGACGTTGAAGTTGACCGGAGCAATAATTGAGCCGGGCAGGAGGCGGAGAGATGAGTATCTGTTAGGGGACGTTTCTGGCTGCCCTTAGTCTAAAAGCGGAAGCCGCCTGCTTTCAGTTGGGGCCAAAAAGTTCTGCTCCACTCCGTAGACCTGGACCGTTGCCAGTGGGCGAACCGATCACATAAGCGAAAAACTGGATAATAGGTTCTTCGATGGGAGACCACGATATCAACGGATTAAATATTCCGTTATAATAGAGCCTGAATCCCGAAAAACTCGGAGTGTGCACTACCTCAACACTGTCGTGAATCTTAATCACGTGCAAATTCGTAAACGCACTTCGCATGCGCTTCTCATCGAAGCACTCGGCATCGCCTCTCTTTCGTATTTGCTTGGAGAAGAACAACTACTTCTGTTAAGTAATTTACTAGATGGAGAAGACCTACGCCCTCAAGTCAAAATTACCCTTATTCAAACCCGAAACAGTGGAAAGCCATAAAACGATGCTTGTATCCACAGCATGCGGTACGGAGTATCAGCTGCGGGTGATGCGTGCATGCAGTCTGGTGCGGCTGCGACTAAGTTTATCGATTGTGTATGCCTGACCCAGCATCCGTGTCATTTGAACACATGAACTGGTGGGTCGCGTAGCTAAAATTTTGGTTCATAGGGCCTCTCTTGAAACCAATGATAGGAAGATGGCCTTTGTAACAACCCCGATGCTCTAGGCAATCACCCTTATTTATTGTCACAACTACTTCTTCTCTGTCGTCACTAAGTCGGGCTCTCGAGCCTCATTGCTCGCCGATCCCAATTGACAGCCCGATACAAGATTTTTGAAGATACATCTAGCCCAAAAGCTTCGACACTTCGCGAAATTTGAAGCGGTAAAGTTCGAGACCATACCAGTTCTGGCGAATAACATGATGATAGTGAAGGTCTAGGCAAACACAGAGGGTACGGGTAGGCATATCTATCTCCCGTTCACTTCTCTACTCGCTCAATAAACTTCGCGCGAAACCTTCTGCTGATCTGTAGCGAGACGCAACTTGGTAGATCGAGAGCCGGGTAGACGCCACGTGGAGGTCTCTAACAGTAACCAAACCCCGATTTTGAAGAGGCGCCTTGAAAAAGATGACCCATCTCTGGCCGGGGGGGTAGACCAAGCCCGCCTTCTAAACCCGAGATGCAGGAACCAAGATCGGAGAAATTTTCGCGCCATGGCCAAAGCGGGTTAAAGCCTGCAGCCGTTACCCTTCAACACGATCATACGAATGGGAGGTGAAGAGATATGCGCAAGGGTCGAGACATCAGACATGAATTCGCATGTTGATGTTGTGCCTCGGGAGCAGCTCAGCGGGATTCTACATTGTAGCTGTCGTTCAACAGCTCTTTACCATAACAAATCACAAGTCCTTATCTCTGTTGACTGGTGAGCAAATTTGTATGTCACTTGGCACATCGTAAAGGCGACAATGTCCACTTTTTAACAAGTCCAGCCCTTGAATAAAAACGTACAAACCGACGAGTACGCCCAATAGAGAGATTTCATGGACGTAATACGGCCCCATTTGGACCTCCGGACAGGCTCCGTGGCAGGCAAAAGACTTGACGGCGAAGTCATGTTGACGCGGTGGTTAGCGGCGGTTTTTACTCGGCTTTGCTGTAGGAAAATTCTTGCACTCATCTGAATCTCGCGGGAGCCGCAACTGTCTCCATCTTTTACCTAAAAGCTCCTCGCTTGTGTTTCTGAATCGAGAAAGGCTCCATCGAGAACCGCCGAGCGGGTCTCTTAGCGCGGCTCCAACATGCCATGGAAAGCTTCTTTTACGACATCAAAACTTCTTCGTTGCGCCCTCCGCAATGTCAGTGTCAAGAACAGGCCGAAGAACGCCCACTCAGGGACTTCGTAATCCAGAGTTTCCGGGGCAATTCGACAGCAGTGACACAAAACAATTAGATCTTATCAACTCAGGAGTGCATTCCCCGTATTGCAGGGCGATCTGTTATCTTTCCCGCCCATGGGGGCGAGATCATTCTGTGGAGGTGGCCCGGCTTTCACCGGGCTACCGAACTGACGACAACCTCTGTCAAGGATGAGTCCAGTCCGTCTACCGCCATGTGGACCCTGAATCCATCTGACTCGCGCCTGTACGTTGATCTTTAAAAGTCAGGAACGTCAGACGCGTCGTGCCCTTCTTGCCCCTCGAGCCCTCCTTTCTCCGTTGGCTTCTTCCATCCCATCACTTCAACGACCTCCCCTCGGACTGTCTCTTGTCGTCCACCAATCGTCTTCAACTTCGCCGCGGTTGAAACACGTCTTCTCCCATCATGACGGACGCCATCTCCCACACGGCCGACCACGGCAACAACAAGTCCTCCAAGCACAAGGAGGACGGACCTGATGCCGAGATGGTTCAGCCCCCTAACCCTTGGCCCGAAATGAACGACAACACCATGCTCGGCGAGACGAGCGACGAGATGAACAACGATCGCCTCAAGCAGATCGCTGCCCAGGGTAGCGCTCACTTCCACCGTCTGGGCTGGAAGCGCTTGGCAATCGTCACCATTGTCGAGGCCGTTGCCCTTGGTGCTCTCAGCTTGCCTTCCGCCTACCACACCCTCGGAATGTTCCCCGGCGTTTTCCTTACCATTACCATTGGTATGCTCTCGATTTTCACCAGCTACATCGTTGGCCAGGTCAAGCTGGCCCATCCGCACGTCGCCAACTACGCGGAAGCCGGAAGACTTCTCTTTGGTCGCTACGGACGCATCGGATACGAGATCTTCGGAGCTGCGCTTGTTCTTGAACTCGTCATGGTTGTTGGTTCTCACGCCTTGACTGGCAGCATTGCACTCGTCGATATCAACGGCGGTCACGTCTGCTCCATCGTCTTCTCGGCCGTGTCAGCCATCATTCTCCTGATTCTTGCTATCCCGCCCTCATTCACCGAGGTCGCTATCCTCGGTTACATCGACTTCGTCTCCATTCTGGCTGCCATCGGAATCACAGTCATCGCCACCGGCATTCAGGCCAACAGCGGCCCCGGCGGCCTTTCTGGCATCGAGTGGTCTGCTTGGCCCAGGGAGGGTGTGACCTTCTCTGAGGCCTTTGTTGCCGTGAGCAACATCATTTT